CCCCCTTCTCCAATCGACCCCTCTCTTTCCCCCTTCTCCCCCTTCTCCCCCTTCCCGCCCTCCTCTCCCTTTCCTCCTTTGGCGATCGCTGCCACCCCCTCTTTCCACTTCCATCGCTCACCTCTGCCCTCTCCCTTGCCTTCATAAGCGGCTGTGAACTCACAAAAGTAGTGTCATTAGCGGCAGCAGCGGCGTTTGCAGCAGGCATCACCACCAATACCAGCACCAGAACCAACCTTTCCTATCCCCAAAAGTTTCAACCCCTCGTTCGCCTCATCTCCTTCACCTCCCGTTGCTCCCTCCCTCCCCCGCTGCCTCTACCTGTAACCGCCCTTCGCTCTCCCTTCCACGCCTGCCCGTGTAATTTGCAGCAGTACTACCAGTAACAACAGCAACACACCTCCAGCAGCGGCGGCGGCGGCGGCGGCGGCGGTGGCGGCGCCGGCGGTGGCAGCAGTGGTACTGGCAGCAGCAGGGTCGGCAGCTGCAGCAGCAGTAATGCTGGCAGCAGCAGCAGCATCAGCAGCAACCACTGCCAGTGGGGCAGAGACGCTGTTATCAACACCACCACCACCCCACCACCACCACCAGCGCAACACCCAACAAACCACCCTGCCTCTGCTTCGAGTAACTCTGGCTTAAACTCGCTAGCCCCTCTCCTAGCGCTCCCCTTTCCTCCTTCGCTGCTTCCTCCTCTTCCTCTTCTTCCTCCCCCTCCCTCTCTTGCTCTTCCTCCTCCTCCACCTCCGCACCCGTATCCTCCATTTCTCCTCGACCACCTCTCCCTCGAGGCCTTTCCACGAATCTTCTCACTCCAGAAACCAGGCTTAGAAGACCTTCCATCGATCTCACCTTCCCCTTCCCCAGATACACCTTCGCCAGCTTAGCTCTGCCAGTTGGTACCTTCACATCTGTACCCTCTTTAAGCCTCTCCGTTTCTTTTCCAGCGCTGACCCAATTTCGTTCTCCACACCTTCCTTCTTTCCCCCATGCTCCTGTCCCTCCGCTCCCTTCCTCCCATCCCCACCCTTCTCTCTTAGCCTCTCCCTCACCCCCCAAACCTCTCCTGCCTCCCTCTCCCCTCCTCCTCACCCACCTCTTCCCCTCCTCCCTCTCCGATCCCTCTTCCTCCGATCCCTGCCCCACCTCCTCCCTTCTCCTCTCCCCTCTCCTCTCCCTCATACTTCTCTCCGTCCTTAATAAACGACGCCCTACCTCTCTACCGCCCGACTTAGCACCCTTCCCAATGCCCTTGGTTCCTGCCACAGGACTGCCATCGTCCTCCTCCTTGTGCCGCTGCTGACGCCCCTTCTGCCCCTTGCCTCTCTCCTTCCCCACGTCCCGCTGCTCGTGCTCTGCAGGAAGGAAGGAAAGAAAAACGATATTAGGGTTTTTAAGACGTGTAGAAAATCGCCCTCCCTCGTCTTCCTCCTTGTGCCGCTGCTGACGCCCCTTCTCTGCCCCTTGCCTCTCTCCTTCCCCACGTCCCGCTGCTCGTGCTCTGAGGGGAGAAGGGACATTAGAAAAAAAAGGGGAGGAGGGGAAAGCGAGACGGGAGGGAGGGGTAAGAAGAGGGGAAGACGGGCGGCGCATGAGCCAGGAGAGAAGGGGAATAAAGCTGCAATTGGAATCTTGTAGATAATACATACCTGAATGTTTTATGCCGCAGATAAATGTTTTAGGATGCAGATAAATGTTTTAGGATGCAGAAAAATGACGATGCATCAAGGTGTGGTGGGTAAAAAAGGGACACACCTGACGAAGACGACAGCACAGGCGAGTCTGCTCGTCTGCCTCCTCGCTTCCCATGCCTCCATTCCCTACGCTCCCCTTCCCCGCCATAATCACCACGCCTATAGTCACCCTGCCATTCCTCTTCTGCATCCCTCCTCCTCCTCTCCTTCCCTCTTACGCCTTCCTCCCGTGCTTTCCCCCTGTCCCGCTCCCCATCTCTGTCACGCTCCCTGTCCCTTCCTCTCTCCCTCTCTCGCTCTCGTCCCCTTCTCCTCCCTCTCCGGTTCCTCCCCTTCTCCCGGTTACCATGCAATGCTGATCCACCCTCAACTTCCTCCTCCTCTTCCTCCTCATCCCCCTCCTCCTCATCTCCTCCCTTTTCTTCCCTCTCCTCCACCGCACCCTCCCTTCTCCTCACCGGATTCAACTCCTCATCACCGGCCCCATCCCCTCCCTTGCCTCCCTGCCTTGCTCTTCCCGCTCGGCCACTCCTTTCCACTCCCCGCTGTCCCTCTTCCTCCACATAATCCCTTCTCTCTCTCCCTTCTCTCTCTTCGTCCCCACTCCTCGCTTCCGTTGCCTTTCTGCTCCCCTTCTCCCTCCGCTCCTCCCGCTTCGAACCCCCCAGCTTCTCCTGCTTGTTCTCATACGTCCCTATTAAAGCTTCCGTCGTTAATACCCCGCCTTCCCCGAACCGCTCTAGGTCTTCAGGCGCCTCGAGATCCTCAAACAACGGGCTCCGAGGCGCCTCGAACGCGACTTCGATCGCATCGATGTCCACGAACCGCGCGTTCCAGTGCGCGTCGTCGTCGCCATCGTCGCCCGCATCGCCAACCTGCCCTGCGACAGGCCGCGCGACAGCCGTCTGCGACGTCTTCTGCGACGCCTTCTGCGACGCCTTTGCCGCGGGATCCGCCTGAAACGACAGCTCACGCCGACCGTCACCGCCTCCCTTCCCTTTCAACCGCGCAAAACCCCTCTCCGGACTCTTTCGCCGACTGCGATCCGGAAAATCATTTCTATCAGCGGCATCGTGGCTCCTATCAGGACTCCCGGTTCCCCTATCCCCCTTCTCCAATCGTTGCCTTCTCCGGCGTTTCGAATCCCTGTCATCGTCCCGGTCGCGGCTTCTCTCTCCTTCGATCTGCCGCTGCCGATCCAGCCCCTCGCCGCTCTCCTCCTCCTCCCTGCTGTGCGCGCGTTTCGCGGATCCAGACGACCTATTTGCGGAATGTCGGTCCTTTCGGTAAGGGAAGGCGGCAGGCCCGCTGTCGCCTATTGGCGACGCGAAAGTAGCTGTACCAGCTGTAGCAGCTACAGCGGCTGTAGCAGGGACCGTTGTAGCCGCTTCCGCCACGTCATTGTCGCGAGACGCCTCGTAATCTGACGCGGATCCCGGCGATTCGTAGTCGTCCGATTCGTTGTGTCGGCGGCGCGTGTGCCTGGATCGGTCCTTCTCCCGGCGGTGGTGGTGGTGGTGGTGGTGGTGGTGGTGGTGACGGTGGCGGGAAGTATAATGCGAATCCGTGTGGCCTTGCCTGTTACGGCTGTGCGACTGCTTCCCCTCATCGTGCTGCTGCTTCCCCTCGTCGCTTTTCCGCCATCGTCGCCTCTCCGCTGCGCCGCCTTCGCCGCTTCCTTCCGCGTCGCTAACGTCCGGATCGCTCGCTTCGTCTGCCTTCTCCCATCGGCTCGGACGACGCATCGCACGGTGCTACCAAAAGACAGAGTCCGGGTCTAGAGGAAGACAAATACCGCCTAAACTGCCATAGGAAACCGCTAATTATCTGGAGATCACCTGCAGAATGCTGGTTGAGATACGCAGAAACCCTAAAGCAGAGACGCGTGAGTGGGAGCGAATTGCCGGTAAAGGTAAAGCGGCATCAACCATCTGGGATGGAAGGGAATCATAGTCAGGCCCCAGAATGACGGTGGGCTAAGCTTTAAAAGAAGGTGTATATTGAAGGGTACAAGTAGGTGAAGAGTAATCTTCTAAATGACTCGGTAATACGAAGGTTCTACTGTCGAAAACTAAGCTATAACGAGGTATTTTGATGACTGTGTTTGTCGAACATTCGAAGATTCTTCCACACCCTATAAACTGTTTGTAATTTGAAATTTACCTCTCTCAGGGATCGCCCACACTTCGTATTTGTGGAGGAGCACTTTACAAACGAGTTCCGCAGGTTCGTGAATCAAACGAGGTGATTCTTGCAGCGGGAATCATAGCCAGACCCCATAATCACAGTGGGATATTCCTTAAAACGAGGTGTAATTTGAAGGGTACAAGTACGTCAGGGATAATATTCTAAACAACTCCGTAATACGAAGGTTCTACTGTCGGAAACTAAGCTATAACGAGGTATTTTGATGACTGTGTTTGTCGAACATCCGAAGATTCTTCCACACCCTATAAACTGTTTGTAATTATAAATTTACCTCTCTCAGGGATTGCCCACACTTCGTATTTGTGGAGGAGCACTTTACAAACGAGTTCCGCAGGTTCGTGAATCAAACGAGGTGATTCTTCCAGCGGGAATCATAGCCAGGCCCCATAATCACAGTGGGATATTCCTTAAAACGAGGTGTAATTTGAAGGGTACAAGTACGTCAGAGGTAATATTCTAAACGACTCCATAATACGAAGGTTCTTCTGTCGAAAACTAAGCTATGACGAGGTATTTCCATGACGGTGTTTGTTGAACATTTGACGTGCTCTCACACCCTTCAAAGTGTTTCTACTATGAAATTTTACCTCTGTCAGGGAATACCCACACTTCAGTGACATATTTGTGGAGAAGCACTTTACAAACGAGTTTCGCAGGTTCGTAAATCAAGCAAGGTGGTGCTTGCAACGGGAATCATATCCAGGCCCCATAATCACGGTGGGCTAGTCCTTAACAATAGGTGTATTCTAGAGGGTAAAATTACGTGAGAGTAATCCTTTAAACGACTTTGTTTTTACGTGTCGAAAACTAAGCTATACGAGGTATTTTTATGACAGTTTTGGTCTACGTCAGAAGATTCTTCAACACCCTTCAAAGTGAAATGAAATCTTACCTCCCCACGGTTTGCCCACACTGCAGTGACGCATTTGTGGGCACACGAATTTCACAGGTTCGTGAACCAGGCAGCGTGGTGCTTGCAGCGGAATCATATCCAAGAATCCCACATGGCGGTGGGCCATGCAAAATATGAGATGTAATTTAAAGGGTACAAGTTCCTGACAGGCAATCTTCTAAACGACCCCGTTATACGAAGACTCTACTGCCGAAAACCAAGCTATAAGGAGGTATTTCCTTAACGGTGTTTGTCGCATACCCGAGGGTCTTCCACCCTTAAAATGGTTCTATTGTTTTTTTACCTCCCGGGGATTTCCACTTCCCGCTATGTGATCCACAAACGATTCCGGTATCAGCTATTTGCAGAATGAATGTTTTGACCCGCCGGGGACGGGCCAAAGAGAAAAACAGCCCTAAAAATCACTGAGATGAGTGGAAACTAACCCTGAATTACCAGAAAATAAACGGACAGATGTCCACGAAACGGCAGTATGTTAGGACGTGGTGCAGAACGCTTTGGCACGACCCGACGCACCGCGGTGCACCGGGTTTCGAAGCTTCCGTGCACACGGGAACCCGGTGCATCGCCTCGTCCCGGGGCGTGCCGGGACGAGGTGATGCATCGATGCGTGCCGGCACGCCCTGGGGCGTGCTGTGGAGCGGCAGCATGATCGAAAGGCTTGCGAACTATCGAAATTCCGGTTACTAGCTAAGTTGTCGTGTGAGGAACTCGATGAAATCGTTTGAATATTGCGACGACTTTTTGGGGAGGGATCAATCGCGAGATCTGTTTAACGAACAGTTCGGCGAGGCTTTACCATGTCAACATCTTAGGCCGAATTTTGCATCTAAGACTTTCGCCTTCGTCCATTCCTGGCCGAATGTTCGAACTCAGCTCTTGGAAGGATACCCGAAACTGAGACGCGTTCCACGGGGCGAGCTGGGGCGCCCCGGCACGCCCCGGGACGCCTCGATGCATCGGGTCTGGACCCGTTCTACACCACGTCCTTACGGCCGAACCTCGCCCAGCCACACTCCCCCGACTTCCCCTTGTCCGCACCGCTCTCCAGACCAGCCAATGACGCCCGCAAAATTATGTCTGGGAGCGGCCGCGTGTTACGCTTCCCCTTTCCATTTCTCCGCGCGCTGACCCACACCTTCCCCGTAGCAGACAGCACCTCCCTCCCCTCCGTGCCAAATCCATCGTTGGTTCCGTGGCTCACAGAGGCTCAGGCAGACTTCCAGGCCGACCGCCAAGAAAACATCTACACCTACTCGTAGCCAAACACTACCGTAATGCATCTTATGGTGTCTCCGTGTTTCTTACAAACTCTTCATCGTCAACCCCAAGAATGTGTATTTCTCAGGCTCCTCAGATTATTTCCTCTTGCCTTGCTTTCTGACCAGCCATATTCCCGTCTCACCACCGCGACTCACGAGTTCTTCTCGTGCTTCTGGTCTGGTTAGGCAGGCCGCGTTGCTGCTCCGTGACTGGAGGCTATTCTGATCTGCTTTGACCAGGATTAGCTTCGGCCAGGGATTGGTTTCGACCAGGAAGTTCCCTGCGAAGCATCTCTATGTCGTGCAGGTGTACGCCTCGTGCGACAGCTCTAGTTGTGCAGCGTGTCGGATAGGCTGCGCTCTTGCTATTCGCGGCTAGTGATTCTTCTCGAAGCTTTTCCGCGAAGCCGTTTCGCTCAGATCGGTTACCGCTCCAGAAAAGTCCCGTCGTGGCCGGCAGTGCATCGGCGCGAGGCTTGTGATTCGACTGGGGAATCCCGCATCAATTCAGCTATGGCATCCATGGTGAGCCCTAGCCCATCGTTTAAATTCATGCCGTTGGCTCGGATAGTGAAATATGTTTACTAGAACGAAGGCCTAGGAAAACCTACATCTACTTCACGATGGAAATAGAATGTGCGCCGGTTTACTGTTAATTCCATCGATCTCCGTCTGTCACTTTGGTGAGGTATTTAATTTCCCGGCGATTCTTGCTTTGAGGCGAATTAAAGAAGCGCGTCGCGTCGAGTTATGTTGTAAGATCGCATATCGAGACCTAATCAGTACTCTTGTTTGTCCAAAAGCCGTGGTTTGACTTTCCGAACTCACTCATGTATTTCGTAATGCTCCACCGAACAACTTACACACGTACCTTTAGTCATGCTCAGCCGAACACGTCACAGAAGTACCTTCCCCTTGGTCATTGAGTCCGCGCAGCCCCGTAGATTTCTATGTTTTAAACGCAATTTTTTTAACCTACTGAAATTTCGCAGAACCCCCCGCCCTTTCGTCCCCTCTTCGCCCTCCCCCTTCCCCTACCCTCTCCCCCCTTTTTTCCCACATTCCCTCACCGTTCCCCTCCACTTACCCCGTCCGTGCCTCTTCATCAATCCCGCTACCCTGACCCACCCGGCTAATGCAACCCCGTATGTCATCTGCCCTCTCTATCTCTCCCCTCTCCCCTCTGTTATCTGTTCGATCCAGGCTGTAGCGTCAGCGGCAGCACCGGCGTCAGAAGCGGCGATGAGCTGTGCAGCCGCGATGCAGCCTTCCACTGAGGCTCTCTCTTATCGGATCGGAGGCATGCTGGGCATCCTCGTTAGTAGCATGTGAGACATGCGTCCGATTTAGTCTCGCTACTGTTACTTCGCGAATTTCCTCGTTATTAGCAGCGTGTGAGCCCATCCGCGTCCTTTTTTGCGAATCTCTGTTCGCAAAGCGCTCTGTGATTCACACAGTACGAAACACTCACTCTTCCCCAGTGCAGTCTGTCAATACATTTCTCTCTATCCACAGCTCCACCCATCCGCACCCATACTAACCGATCCGCACCCATGCTCACCCGTCCACACCGTCACAGCAAACCTCCTCACCCTTGCTCTCACATTCATAACCCCTCAACACCTCTTAACCCAAACCCCTCCTTCCCCCTCCCCCCTTCCCCCTCCCGCCCCCCCCCCTCCCTTTCCAGCATCGGCTTCTCCCTGCCATTCCTGCTGCGCGGGCGTCACAAGACGCTGCTCTTCTTCTTCCGCGCCTCTGCTGCTGGCATCTCAGTTTACTCAAAAGGCTTCTCTCTCGTCCCTCCTCCCCTCCTCCTCCTCCCCCCGTCCCTCCTCCCTCCTCCATCTTCCCCCAGCATCGGTTTCTCCCTGCCATTCCTGCTGCGTGGCCGCCACAAGACGCTGCTCTTCTTCTTCCGCGCCATGGCTGCTGGCATCTGAGTTCACTCAAAAGTCTCCTCCCCCGTCCCTCCGCTCCGTCCCCCTCCCTCCCTCCCTCCTTCCCCTCTTCCAGCATCGGCTTCTCCCTGCCATTCCTGCTGCGTGGGCGCCACAAGACGCTGCTCTTCTTCCGCGCCATGGCTGCTGGCATCAGAGTTCACTCAAAGTCTCCTCCGCCCTCTCTCCTCCCCCTCCCCCCTCCCTCCCTCCGTCTTTTCCCTCTTCCAGCATCGGCTTCTCCCTGCCATTCCTGCTGCGCGGCCGTCACAAGACGCTGCTCTTCTTCTTCCGCGCCATGGCTGCTGGCATCGTGCTCGCCGTTGCCATCGTGCACATCTTCCCAGGTGCGTCCTAAATGAACAGATTGTGATTCGCCGCGTTGTACGAGTATCGTGCTGGCAATGTGCTCCCATTGTGCTCCCATTTTGCACGTCTTTGATTCATCTTCCTCCTGCTCCCATCTCACCCCCGTCATCCCTTCTCCTCCATGACTACGCAGGCGCACAGGAGGCCCTTTCGAACCCATGCCTCGACTTGTCCTCCTCGTCCTTCCCCTGGGCCCCGGTCTTCATCCTCTTCTCAGCGCTTTTCTCCTTCCTCGTGGAGTGCTACCTCAAGAAGATCCTCCTCCTCTCCTGGCGCCGCAAACACCCCTCCGCTGCTGCTACATCTGCTGCTGATTCTGTTGTTTCTGCTGGTTCTGCTGGTGGGAGCAGGAGTGGCGGTAAGAAGCGGAGGCTGGGTGCGGGGGGTGTGGGGCGCGTGGCACGAGTTGTTGCTGCGTTGCTGGCTGGCGGGAGGAGGAGGAAGGGAGCGGGAATTAGCAAAACCGGCAATGGCGGTGGCAGCGGCAGTGGCCGGGGAAGCAGCAAGAGGGATGGGAGGTTGAGGGAAGATGGGAAGCAGCAGAAGGCATGGCAAACGGATGGGGGCAGCAGCCCTGATGTGCCATGCCATGCGTCCCCCCAGTGCTGTGATGCCCTGTGTAGTGCTGCTGCTGCCTGTCATGACACAGCATGCCACGATGCCACATGCCATGACAACCCATGCCATGAAGTGGTGTGTCATGATGCCACCTGTCACGAAGTGGTGTGTCATGATGCCACCTGTCACGAAGTGGTGTGTCATGATGCCACCTGTCACGAAGTGGTGTGTCATGATGCCACCTGTCACGATGCCACCTGTCACGATGCCACCTGTCACGATGCCACCTGTAACGATGCTACCTGTCATGATGCCACGTGTCCGGATGCGACTTGCCCCGATGCTATTTGCCACGATTGCCCAGAATCCACCTGTCACAGCACTGCATGCCACGAGATTACATGCCATGACGCCACGTGTCATGATGCCACCTGTCATGAAACCACCTGCCAAGGTAGCACCTGTCCAGATAACACCTGCCATGGTGTCACCTGTCTGGATGCCACCTGCCGCTCTGCTACGTGTGGTCAGTCTCAGTGCGCTGGGTCCAAGTGTGCTGACTCTTCCTGCACTGGCACTAAGTGCACGGGCACCAATTGCACTGACTCTAAGTGCACGGACGCCCAATGCTTAGCTAAGTGCTGCGAGTCCAAGTGCCCCGCCTGCCCCGACTGCGCGCTGGACGTGAGAGGAGGGGAGGAGGAAAAGGCAGCAATGAAAACTGGGAAAGCGGCGGAGTGGGAGGAGCAGGAGGGGCGGGAGGAGAGTGAGGAGAGCCGTATGCGGGAAGCAGTGGCGCTGTCGTCACTGCGAGCAGTGGCGTACACGCTAGAGATGGGCATCATCTTTCACTCCATCTTCATTGGCATTGCGCTTGGTGCGAATCACGACAGCGCCGAGATCAAGGGGCTTGCGATCGCCCTCGTCTTCCACCAGGTGTGTATCCTTCCCCGCGCCTCCCTCACTCTCTTTTTCCTAAACCCTTGTTTCCCTGGGAGGAGAGCCGGATGATGAGGGAGGAAGCAGCAGCAGCAGCAGTGACGCTGTCGTCGCTGCGAGCAGTGGCGTACACGCTAGAGATGGGTATCATCTTTCACTCCATCTTCATTGGGATTGCCCTCAATGCCAACCACGACAGTGCAGAGATCAAGGGACTTGCGATTGCGCTGGTCTTCCACCAGGTGTGTATCCTTCCCCGCGCCTCCCTCACTCTCTTCCATGCCTCCCTCAGTCTCTCTTTGTCCCCTTCGCCCACCACATCTGTGTCTTCTCTTCAGAAGATCTGATATTGTCTCACCTATCACTGGTTTTTTCCACTGTACTTCCACCCCCCTCACCGTGTCTGCTACCAGGGCTTCGAGGGCATAAGTCTCGGTACAGCCGTCGCCCCATGCCGCTTCTCGCTGCTCAAGACTCTTTGCATGGGGCTGCTTTTCGCATTCACCACACCTCTGGGAGTGGCTATAGGGCTGGCCGTCCATTCGTCCTATAACTCCAACAGCCAGGCTGCTCTTGCGACTGAGGGCGCGTTCAATGCCGTGTCGGCCGGCATCCTCATTTACAACGGACTCGTTGACTTGTTAGTGCCGACGTTCGACGAGCACGACGAGAACACCCCGAAGGATCCAGTTGCGTATTTCTCTGGGTTTGTGTTTTTGTTCCTGGGTGCTGGGGCCATGAGCCTGCTCGCCATTTGGGCTTGAAATGACAGGAAGTTGGGCTATAAATTGGTGGTGGCTCTTATTTCGAGCTGCTGTGCTGCGATAGTTTATTGCTGCATTTTGTGGGACGGATGTAACTATTGACTTTATAATTACCCGTTCTTGTAGGAATAATCAGTATGCTGCATTGTAGCAATTCATGTTCGCATTTACCGTACGCAATTCTTTCGCCGTGAGCACACCCACCATCCCAGATTTTCTCTTCGGCAATCCCAAGGCCAAGACTACCTTCTCTTTTCTCGGCACCTACTGCATCCCACTAACGTGGACTCTAATCGTTGTGTAGCAAGCAACTCTTGCATCGGGCTTAGATTGTAAAGGCTTGTTTATTTCTCGTTGTAGGAGCAAGTTTTTAGCGTCGACGGTTCTTAAAAGTGAAAATGGGGAGCGGCGCGGGCCGAGGGAGGAAAGGCGGACCGACGGGTCGTCGACACTTTTCGACGGTCGAGGAAATGAGTACGCATGGGGAGAGCAGTAGAAGGGAAAGGGAGAAATATTGAATAGATGTGAAACTAAGGAAGCGAGAAGGTGGATCGGAGGGAAGCGGATAGAGAGTGTCGGTTGCCCTGTCGGGGAGAGACTACCGACTCGGAATGCTCTGATCGGGTCGAGGATCAGATACAAGAAGGAGAGACCTCTATCTGGTCCTGTTTCGTTGTGCTTTCTTCGTCGCGTTCAATCTATCTCCACCTCTCCTCCAAACCCCTCGTTTCAATTTCCCAGCTACGTGCATGTGTAATGAATCTGCACTCATTTACGACCTACGCAAATGCATACCCTATTTCTTTCACGCCTTTCTTAGGATTTATCAATAGGCTCTTCATTTTTTGTTTCCCATCGCTTCGCTTTCGTTCTCCCTTCACCCTTCACCTCTACCCTCAAACCCTCCTTCTCCCCACAACCGCAACCAACCTCCTCATCGACCTTCCTTCTCCTCCCCTTCCCTTTCTCGAACCTCTTGTGTCGAGCCTGCAGAGTCAGGCACGTCATCCGAGCCTAAGTGGAAGCAGCGGCGGGTGAGTGTCCGATCCCAAACTCGTGCGCATGTGTTGCCGGTCATGCTTTTCTTTAGGCGCAACCGAACGTAACCGAAGGAGCGCCTGTGTCAAAGACCATCAAGGAAAAAGACGCCTTCTCACTGACGTGGCGTTAATGGCAACCTGACGTGGCATTGTTGACCTTTAACAACGTCTTTAACGGACTCTTAACGAACCATTTTCTAGCCATTGATGGAAACCTGACGTGGCCGTTCATTCTCCGCCCCGTTTTCAGATCTCCGCCCCTTTCCCCGTCCTGACTTTCGAGTCGACTCAAAAGTCAGCTCCTGCATGCGTTGCTCCGTGCCTTTCCAGCCATTGATGGCACCTGACGCGGCCGTTCATTCGTCGCCCCCTTTTTCAGATCTCCGCCCCTTTTCCCGTCTCTCTATACCGGTCACATTGACAGAATCGGGATCAGGAGGACGATCCGGAGGAGGAAGGGGAGGAGGAGAGCAGTGAGGAGGAGGAAGAGGAAGAGGAGGAGGAGGAGGTGAGAGAAGGGGGGTGAGACATAGGCAGAGCGGAAGAGAGGGGTAGAGGGAAGGCACGGGTGAGAGGGGAGATGGAGAAAGGGTAGGAACCGAAAGTGGGTTGGGTATTTGGTATTGTTCCTGGAGCTGTTAACATTCAACAGCAGACTTTCGCTCCCCAGTCTGACCTTTTGTGCTGCTTCCTTCTTTCCCCCCGCCCATCTCTCTTTCCCACACCCCTCTCTCTTTCCCCAGGCCTCCCGCTATTTCCCCACGCTCACCTCTCTCTTCCCCACCCCTCTTGCGTTCCTCGCCCCCCCCGCACCTCTCTCTCCCCCTCGTCAGAAGCACAAGAAAGTGACTTGACCACACTTCGCCCTTCCTCAATCGTTCCCTTCCTTCCCTCCTCCCCTCTCCCTCCTCCCTCCTCCCTCCTCCCTCCTCCCTCCTCCCTCCTCCCTCCTCCCTCCTCCCTCCTCCCTCCTCCCTCCTCCCTCCTCCCTCCTCCCTCCTCCCTCCTCCCTCCTCCCTCCTCCCTCCTCCCTCCTCCCTCCTCCCTCCTCCCTCCTCCCTCCTCCCTCCTCCCTCCTCCCTCCTCCCTCCTCCCTCCTCCCTCCTCCCTCCTCCCTCCTCCCTCCTCCCTCCTCCCTCCTCCCTCCTCCCTCCTCCCTCCTCCCTCCTCCCTCCTCCCTCCTCCCTCCTCCCTCCTCCCTCCTCCCTCCTCCCTCCTCCCTCCTCCCTCCTCCCTCCTCCCTCCTCCCTCCTCCCTCCTCCCTCCTCCCTCCTCCCTCCTCCCTCCTCCCTCCTCCCTCCTCCCTCCTCCCTCCTCCCTCCTCCCTCCTCCCTCCTCCCTCCTCCCTCCTCCCTCCTCCCTCCTCCCCCCCTCCTCCCTCCCCCCCCCTCTCTCCGTCTCTCCGTTTCTCTCCCCCTCGCCAGAAGCACAAGGGAGTGACTTGGCCAACACTTCGCCCTTCCCTCAATTGTTCCCTCCCTTCCCTCGTCCCTCCTTCCTCCTCCCCCTCTCTCCATCTCTCTGTTTTCCCTCCCCCTCGCCAGAAGCGCAAGGGCGTGGCAGGGCTGATTGCTGTTGAGAATCCCAATGCGCCCAGAAAGGCCGCAGTCAAGGTGTCCCAGGCGGATGTGAGTATAACGAGAGGGCGTTTGTGTTGTGAGTGTATTCCGATAGGGTGGTTGCAAATTTAGTGAGATGGGTTGGTGGTTGCGAGCATAAGGGCCGGTTGCGAGTGTATCTCCACCCTTGGTTTCCTCACCTCACCTCACCCATCTCCCTTGCAACTTACCTCCCCCTTTGATATTTTTCTCTTCCCTCCTCCCCTCTCCCGTAACCCTCCCTTCTCGTCCTTAACAGACCAGTGCCTCCACGCAACTCTCTCGCCGTGAAAGGTGCGTTTTGATCAACCCAAAAAACAATTCAAAAATCAGCTTCACATAGCCTGCGCCAGTAGGTGGCTTGCACTATGGCAGTAGTTCGCCGTGAAAGGTGCTTGTACATTTGCATACAGCGTTCGGCTTGTCTAGAAATAGCCCCCTCTCTCGGTGTGCGCACTTAGAATTGTGCAACGTTTTGTTTGAATGAGTGTGAATCTGCATGTGTGCGCCGTGGTGCGTGCGTGCATGTGTGAGCGTACATGTGTGTGTGCATTTGTGAGTGTGTGCATCTGTGAGTGTGTGCATGTATGTGTGAGTGTGTGCATGGGTGTGTACGCGTGCATATGTGCATGTGTTTGTGTGTGTCTGTGTGCATCTGTGCGTGTGCAAATGGATGCAACGGCGAGGGCAGGGAGGAGATAGAGAAGGAGAGGGCGAAGGAGCGATTTATGAAGCTGCAGGAGCAGGGAAAAACAGAGCAGTCTAGAAAGGATCTTGGTGCGTTCATCAAATAAAGTGATTGCAGCCTTATTGCCGTTACTGTTGACCTAGGGACTGGGGGAGGTGGCTGGGGCGTAGGAAGGGGTGAAATCTGTACCTTCGCCCACCTCCCCTTCCACCAGGGGTGATATTTGTGCTTATGTGTTGTCTCATGCGCCTCGCTCGTGCTTCTCGTTTTCGCTTCACGCTTATGCTTCTGCTTTTGCATCATGCTTTTGGCCTATTGCCTCATTCGATTCTCGCTCATGCATCTCGCTTATGTGCGTCATGTGCTTGAATTTTCGGTAACTCAAATATGTTTCCCTCCCCCCGTCTTCTCCCAATTGTCATTCTCCTGTCTCACACAATGGTCTTCATCCTTCTGCTTGTAACATTCCCCTTTCCTTAACCCGCTAATCGCTTTCACGCACCCTTCCCCCCCCTCCCCCCGCCGTTCGCCTGTCCCTCTGTGCCTAAACAGAGCGCTTGGCTCTTATTCGTCAGCAAAGGGAAGAGGCAGCGAAGAAGAAAGAGGAGGAGCGCTTGGGTAAGTACACTTCTACAAGTACTGATTTGAACTTTTCTGGTTCTGTGATGATGTTGGTGGGTATTTTCAGCGTTTCTTCCTGCTTCCTCGTACTGTTGGCAGTTGATTTTTGTTCCTCTTTTTTCTCAGTAAGCTGACCGTCCGTTCATTGACTTTACCTCAATATCACTTGCGTGTGCAGCAAAGGAGGCCAAAAAACTAGAAGCTCGCAAAAGATGACAGCATGCAATATTTGTCTCTTTTCTTGTATCTTAGTTGTACCAAATAACGCAATGGTTGAGTTAGTTGCACATTCTCCGGCTATTCGAGTTATTGCAAACCCTCCTGCTAAAGCCCTGCGGCTCGCGATATTCCCTAGGCATCGGGACCCCCCGCGCGCGCTTCAACCTCCTGTTTTGACGGTTCCCGCCTAAAACTGACGGAGCATTCTCGACTCGTTTCCTCTGTCCCATACCGCGCTTTGGGAAGATTTTATGGAAGTCCAAAGCCGGGATGGGACGCGCGTTGCGCGGCACTAGCGATCTGCCCTAATGACAATACTTTAGCACGATACCTCATCCGCGGCTAGGGCGGGGATTCGTTGGCGAGCGTGTGTTTTCGTGGTTCATTATCTACCCTAAAATGGCGAACTCGTTTTGTTCTCCTTGCGTCGCGACATCAAGGGATCACGGAATCTCTCATATTTGCGGCGTTCGTCAAACAACCGGGGTTCCTGCTCGGCACGGTTCGTGTTTCAGTACTGTTCGCGATAGTTCCCACATCACATCGTACCACGTCAGTAGTGGCCGCCATCCCCGCCAGCGTTGCCAGTGGAAACCGAGCCGGGTAGTCGCTCGTGCTGAGTCAGCACGATCAGGGAGCGGGAATGACGGAGGGAATGGCGCGAATGACGACGAGCCCATCAAAGTGGAGGTCTCGCCGAACCTGACCGTCGCGCTCGGCGACGAGGTTCGGCGTTTGACAGCAGGTTCGGACGGAGGTTTGGAGGGAGCAGTCAAGGAGAAGGGCCTGAGTCTGATCGAGCAGAACGAGCGTAGAAGGCAAGCTCGAAAAGCCGCTGCCGCCGCCGCCGCTGCTGCTGCTGCGGCTGCTGCTGCTGCTGGTGGTGATGCCGCTGCTACAGCTGATGTTCCTTCAACAATCACGGCTGTAGCAGATTCGCCAAGAAGTGAGGAAGCGCGGGCAACAGTAGCAGCAGCAGCATCGCCAGCAGCGGCGGGTGAAACACGCGCTTTCATTGCTGACGAGGCGGCGTACGTGTCCATGGTGAAACGCGCCGCGGCTGCCACGTCAGCTTGGCGACAGGCGGTACCGTTCCCCCTGAGTGATTTCTTTTTCGACCCGGACGGGGTTGGGGTTAAGAGGGGGAGGGAGGAAGAAGAACGGCTCATTCATGACATCTATTTCAAGGTACGTGTGATTGGCTGCTATTTTGATCTTTGAGACGATCCAAACTCAGATGTCTCATGTTACTTATGTTTGAATTGAGGTGTCGCATGCAATGTACGGCATCTGCTTCTCCTTGAGTGTGAGCTTCCTTTCTGTGATGATGATAAAAGAAACACACACACACGCGCGCGCGCGCTTGCGTTTTCTTCTTCAATGTAACCCCGTTGTGCGCCCGTGCAGGCTGAGAACGGCCGGCCTTTGGAACAGGTCGACACAGAAGGCATCAAGGCAAAGGTATGGTCATTTAGCACAGCCAATTCAGGGCATAATGTTCCTGGGCATATGACGCTATATCTCTTTGCGTTGCATGTCCCGTGATTTGCATTTCTCTTATCTTTCCTGCATACCCCCCCAGCCATGGGCCAGGAGGAAAGCCAGAGCGTATGACCTTTTTCCATCTGAACACAACCCCCTTGCTCTGGCTTGTTTTCTGATGATTTTCCTTGCTCTGGCCTTTCTGCATCGCCCTTCACCGCACAACGTGTTTGTCTCAAGGTGCTGACGTCATCAAGGTTTGAGGTTGAGTCAGCAGTGAATCCACGTCAGTGCCAGCAAGGAGTGGTCTTCTATGGCCGCCTCTCTGCCCCTGCTCCTTCTGTGTACTCCACCATTCAAGTAAGGCTCTGTTCGTCTGTCGGTCACAATGTGTATGTGTTGCGTTTGCTAGCTGATCAACAATGCATTAGCCCTATGACCTGGCATACACCACCCCCTTACTTCCTCCAATCATTTTTACCGTTCCCGTCTTCTTTCCTGCTCTTGCTCCCCTCCTTCTGCCTTCTTCCTCTTCACTTTCGTCCATCTTCCTCCTCCTCCCCTCCGCATCATTGTCCTCCTACTTTTCTCCACCCAGGCTCGCCTCGACACCTCGTTCCCCGGCCTCTGCGCAGTGCTCGCTAGAGACGACATCATCCGTCCGGCAATCAGCGTCCTTATTGCCCCACGGCAACACCTCCTCTCCTTCTCCCTCCCCCGCCCCGTCTTCACCTTCATTTCCTGCCTCACTCTCTCTCTCTCCCTCCTCATCCTCTCCTCCTCTCTCTCTGTTGACCCTACTCTCTCTCCCACCACCTCTCCTCTCCTCACTGCTGCCTCTGTGCCACTTGGCGTGCTCCTAGTGGCTGCTGCTGGTGCTGGGGGGAGGGCTATAGCAGCACAGCAACATGGGGTATTTCAAGCCCTAGATACCCCTCTCCCTCTACCCTCCCCTGCCTTCGGGTTATTCGGGGTTCTATCCCCATATAAAGGGTTACTTCCAAACCGTACCGTTCTTCTCGATCTGTCTCTCAGCAGTGCAATCGCCTCTTTCTCTACATCTGCTGCTCTCATTCTCCTCGGCCTCCTCCAATCCGATACAGTCACACCTGATGTAGTCACCTTTCCAGCTTCCAACTTCTCACACTCCCATGTCCTCTCCTCCCTCGCATCTGACCTAGCATCGGCCGTACTCATTACTAGCCCCGACTCCCTACAGTCTACAGTCTCCACAGGCGCTTCTACAGTAGATCTCGCAATAAACCCACTCATTCTAGCCGGATTACTTGGTATCAACTTCTCCTCTCTCTCTTTGCTACCTGTGGGTATTCTTGATGGCGGTCGCATAATCACAGCACTGTTTGGAAGGAAGCAGCAGCACGCAGTGTCCATGGGTGTGCTAGCAGCAGCAGCAGTTTCCCTTGTTCTCAGACCAGACGGCAGGGAGAATGCAGCGACGTGGTTGGTGCTGGCGATGGTTCTGCTGAAGCGAGATGACTGGTTTCAACGGGAAGAGGTTTCGGAGCCTTCGGGAGTGCGGAAGCTGGTTGCAGCTGCGCTTGTAGCTGCTTCGATATTGATATTGTGGCCTTGATGCAATGCAACATAACATGAGATGAGTGATTGTTTGCTCCATACCAGTGTGCAATACGGCATCCAGTAGGTACTCCATATTTTTATCCTATTCGATTTTGAATGTATGGTGAAGTGAAGCTGTGTTTTTGTAAAACAAACTTCACGTCAATGTGCTCTTTCTAGATAACAGAACAGAACCTTTCAGCTGCATGGATCAAAACCGTGCGTGAGACCCGTGTGTCCTTGGAACTGGAAGTTCAGGGACATTGCTCACATACCCTAGTAAGTACCGTAAGTGCGTAGTGTAACACATTCATAAATGTATGCATGTTAATTAGGCTTTGAAATGACAGGTTTCATGCGGTACTAACGTATGTACAAGCACATTAACCAATGCTTTATCGCCCCATCACATGCTAAGCTCCTTGCGAAGAGCCCTGTCTCGGGCTCACTGGTGTCCTCGAATCAATCAATGCGGCTGAACTAGGCAAGACTAACTAAAGAGAGTACGGTAGGCTGGTTGCACTCGGGCTGGGGGGCTGCAGCAAGTTGCACCTCCAGGGCCCTCAAATCCTATTGAGAGTAAGCTTAAAACGAGTATGGGAGGTTAGGCCTCAGGTGAGTCTTGGAGGGCTGGTCTCAGAGTGCCTGGCTCCAGCTAGTTGCATCTAGAGAGGTGGGGTGAGGTCCAAAGGGTGGTGTGAATCTCAGAGGTTGGTGTGAATCTCAGAGGGTGGTGTGAATCTCAGAGGTTGGAGTGAACCTAGGGGCGAATCTCATAAGGTGGGGTAGAATCTTCAAGGGTTGGTCGCACTGTGCCGGGTTCCAGCAGGTCACGGCAGGCAGGGTGTCGCTTCATGAACGTCTCCTGTTGGGAAAGTAAACGCTAGAGAGGTTAAACGTGGATATGATATGATGATACAATGGGAAGGGTTTGTCACAGAATGCCGGGTTCCAGCAGGTCACGCTAGGCAGGGTGTCGCTTCATGAACGTCTCCTGTTGGGAAGGGACGGAAGCGAGGTGAGGCGTGTCTGTGAAATTGACATGATGGGAAGCGAGGGTGAGATGTGACGAGAAGTGAGGAGAGACGAGGAACAGAGGAGCGTGGTAGCTCGTAATGACAGAGGTCAGGATAGCACGCCCCCCACCCCTCACTCACATCTGCTAGGTTCAAACACCGGTACAATTTTGAAGCAACCACATGTGTGGCGCATGCCTCAACATAAGGCCACGTGAGTGGCACGTGGGTGGCACGTACCTCAACATAAGAGCACGTGGGTCGCACGTAGAGCCCGTTCTCCTTGGCGTAGTCGCACGCGGCTTCGCACAGCCGCGCCGCGAGGCCCTCGCCGCGTCGACTCGGCGGGACGTACGTGTGCGTGATGTCCATCACGCCGCGTTTCACGCCGCTCGTCGCGCTCGTTGCCACAGAAGCTTCCGACGACGCGGCGGCCTGGGAAGGCGAGAGAAGGTCGTATTCGGCGAAGGCCTGGCCGTCGCTCGTCATGAACTTGTGCGACGCGATGTCGTGCACGATCGTCGCACGCGATTCGTGGGGCGGCTCTTGCGGCTGGGCTTGCGAAGCCATGCTGCGAAATACTGCGATTTCGCTTCCTTTCGACTGGATTTCGTTCACCCGCCTCTCGCGAAACCCAGGTGTTGCTGTTGGAGCGTGTCGAAGCCGCCCTGCGGTTGTATTCGAGAGAAGCGAACGCGATAACGAACGAAGAAACATCGTTACGGTTCAAGGTGATTTATGATGCAAAAAAAAGATTGAAGTTTAGTCGATTGACCCCCGCAACAGGTCGCGCATGGCCCACGAAAACACGCTACAAGGAACCAGCGAATAAACAGCAGTAGAACCTACTAGTATCTAAGGATCTTGGGCCTAGGAGACGGGGAAAAACACTGGGGAGGAAGAGCTAAGCAAAACGTCAAATGTTTGCCAGGTGAGCACCACTAACTTGCTGCTGCAACCAGGGAGTACGAGCCACCAGGGTCGAGGAGGACGAAGCATGATGACAAGACGATTTCTACATCCTACATGCACCCCCCACAGCGCATCGGCTAGCCGCCACGCGTGCAGCTTCTCCGTCGGCCTCGAATGGCTCAATCCATCGTTGCACGACAGCCTGCGATCTGCATCTCCCACGGTCACCCGAATGACTCAATCCATCTGTCCTGTCCTATCTTCATTGTCCTTGAAATCCACTCCGCTCAAACGTTACCGGCCCATGTTCGGGTCACGAGTCACAACACATAATCACTTTATAGGATAATCACATTTTCATCGTCACATGGTTACAGGTTTATGTATCCTTAGGACACGGAGCACGACTTTTTCTCCCACGTGCCGTCCTCCTTGAGTCCCGGCCATGGCTTGCACGCGCACCGCTTGTCTTCGGGAATGCTATTGTAGACGCTCTCCACGTGCATGCCGCAACCCATCCACGTGTACTTGCCGCACGATTTGCAAGGGGTCTTGTGACACATGTTCGCCACGTGGCACCACGAGGTATGCTCGCTTGTTCAGATAGAAACGGCAGCGGAAATAAAGACGCCCGGCGCAACGTGACGGATTGTCCGCGCGAAATTGTTGCTGACACAAGAAACGATGGACTTATGCGATTAGGAGAGCTTAGATGCAACGAGAACAAGTTTAGGGAAGGTAGTTTGTGAGGCGAGGCTATCCTAATCGTAAAATACTCGGGAAAAGGCTGTTGAGGAATTGCGTACGAATCTGCCTGCTGCCATGGCTGCCAGCTTCGGGTGCGGAACGAAACTTCGACGGAAATTTGCTCAAGTGGCTAAATCCGCGTTACGGACTGATATGGTACTAGAACCAACTACTTCGAGCTCAACCAATATACCCAGATCAATTTCACTTTCATAAGTAGCGGAACAGTGGACGTCTATCTGCACTACAAGCCCTTGTCCAACTGGTCGGAATAGAAGTTCTCATACAGAAAACATGATTCCATTCCCCCTCTATCCAGACGATCTTCCCTCCACTGGACGAACTCTCGCCGGAATCTAATTTAATGAGGCTTCCCTGGCTAAATTGGCCAAGAAAAAAAGTATGGACTTCACTCCTCAGATCAGGCAAGCAGTTTCGTCAAAACTGGACCCAACACAGCACAGTCTCTACGAACTGTGTTTCGGGAGCAACCTAATTGACCTCCTATCTCTCTTTCGAGAATGAAAGGCCAACACTGGGCTAAATCACGCCCAGAGCGCAAGCAAGCACATGGAGAATGCACCCAAGAAGAGCGACACAAACCCGAGGAAGTACAGCACCGGAGACTTGGGTGTACCCTCATCACTCTCATCGAACGCAGGCACTATGAGGTCAACAAGGCCGTTATAAATGAGGATACCGGCAGAGATGGCATTGAAAGCACCCTCTGTAGCCAGAGCAGCCTTGCTAGCAGGGTTGTAGGAGGAATAGATTGCGAGGCCAATGACGACACCGATGGGTGTTGTGAGGGCAAAGAGGAGCCCCATGATGATTGTTTTGAGCTTGGAGAACTGGCAGGGGATGAGTGTTGTGCCAAGGCTGATGCCCTCAAATCCCTGTACATGGACAGACAGCCACAGGACAGGAAAACACACGGATTATAAGAACCAGGAGTTGAGCAGACTTCCGGTTTCTTGAATCATTATTGCAGGTGCACATGTGATCGATGAGGCGAATGTGATGCAGGATGTCTTACCTGATGGAACATGAGGGCGATGACGAGACTTTGGATCTCCTCAATGTCTTGTGTTGTTCCAAGGGCGATTCCAATGAATATAGAATGGAAAATGATTCCAGCTTCGAGTGTATATGACGTTGCACAGTAACCACTGACGATGAGTGCCTTCTCATCCTCTTCTGTGTTCAACCCGCACTCTATGCACTCGCCCTCTGCTGGTGCATGTTTTTTCTCGTTATTAGACTGAAGCGATCTTAGAAGAACCTTCTTCAAGTAACACTCCACCACGAAAGAAATGAGGGCCGCGTAGAGAACGAAAACGGACGCCCATGGAAATGATTCCGCAAAGCCCAGGCAAGGATTGGACAGCGCCGCTTGTGCTCCTGCAGGTGGGGTTTTAGAAAAATTGTTCGAAAATTAGTCTTACGAGATGGTATAAGTATCCCAATCAGTCTTGCTAATCAGATATGGCACATTCCATTTTTTTGTTTGTTTGTTCTTTTTATTCATCATTTGTCCATTTTTATAAGGGCTACAGGATCTCCAATCATGCTGTCAAGGGAAGCACAAGCCGCCAAAAGGTGGTCGTTGAGAAATTTCAGAACCAGTCACAGATGAACGCACCTGGAAATATGTGGACGATCGCGACAGCGAGCACGACGCCCGCCGCGAATGTCCGGAAGAAGAAGAGGATCGATCGGTGCTGCTTCCGGAGAAGGAAAGGTAATGCGAAGCCGATTCTGTGAAAAACGAGGAATCGAGAATTATTAGCTTTAGTGGAAATTGGTATGGCGACGTACACGCGACTCACATAAACAGAAACACTTTGAAGATGGAAAATAAGAACGTCCAGAGTGTAGAATAGGTAGGAGTGCAATGCTCACAAGCTGCACACGAGAATCCCGAACATTCCGCCTATCCTCCATGAGAGCGCCTCCGCTCCGCTGCCCCCGCTGACCGCGCACTCCAGCTCCCCCGCTGGCCCTGGCGCAGGCTCGTCGTGGTGGCCGCCTCCCTGCGTGGCGATAGAGGGACGTGGCAGGGCAAAACAAAGCAATAAGAAGTTAATGTGAAATACCGTGGAATCTGGCATTCGGGGTTGGAACGTCCAGCGACGGGGTGGGGAGAAGCGGGATTGGGATTGAGATCGGGATTGGGAAAGCGGAGGATGGAAGCGGACATGGAGAAGGGGGAAGGGGGGGGGTGTACCCTACTTCGTGGGTGGATTTTTTGGGCGCCTCAAAAATCGTGTCATGCGCGAAATAGGTCGAGGGGTCTCAAAAATCGTGTTTTGAGGTGTCAAGAAGCGGGCATGGAGAAGAGGGGGTGTACCCTGCTTCGTGCGTGGAAAAGGCGGGGAGGATTCGCACCATCTCGTCTGCGGGCAGATACGCTCGATGCTGGCTCGGTCACGAGGGTGTCGGGCTAGCGATAAATGCGGCGTCGGGCACGCGGGTGGTACCGAGGTGGTAGGAAATGGAAGTACGTTTGTCGACACGCGCGGATCGCCGAGACGAGGTTGTGCGATTAGAATCTGCTGGTGATTGTCGTCGCTGACGGAGAAGTTTCGGCGCGAGGAACGAGGGGTCTGGTGGTCGTGCTCACGGGAAGGAGCGGGAGAAATAGGGGCCTAGAGACACCCTACGATTCCTGGTCGGGAAAAGCAATCCCAAACGGAGAAAATGCGTGACTAGCATCCTTGAAATGGGCTCCACATTTAGTGTGCGTGATCTGGTCAGTGGATGGGATGGGATGCTTTCGCGCTGACGGCGGCGCAACGGCCAAATGCAGTCGAGGGTTGATCCGGTAAGCTCATTGATCCATTCCACCGAGTCGCGGCCATCTGGTCTGCGTCTACGTTCTCGCGGACAGGTGTTTCTGGGCAAGATGAATATGGCCGCGGTTGTGGCGGGTGGAGCGGTCCGTTGAAATGATTGGCCAGGACGCTTCTGCCAGTTATCCAGGGACCAGAAACGTAGGAGGTGCATTAGGAGGTGAATATGAGGAAGGTTCAGGTGGGGGGGGTTCTAGGGATGTGCTGTGGCGGGGAGGAGAGAGATTCGAGGGTGTGTGGTGTGGTTACAAGGAGAGATACATTATGTATCTGGTCTATGCTGACGTGTCTGAAATTGGTTGTATTACTGGCTAGGTTCGCCTCTTTTCTTCCTTGTGCCAGCGAGGCTCGTAGCTGCTTGTGACACCAGGAGACTTACGATCGCTAACAGCATATTCGGAAACTCTAGATTGTCCTCTGATTACCTTACAAAATGCAGCGTACAGCTCTTGCTATGACTCGGGTAATGCAAAGGTTTGTGTCTATCCGTGGATTTTTTGTAAATATGTGAAACACGAGTTGCATATGTTGACATCCTGATCCAGTGAATTGCATAAGAACGAAAGTATGTCACTGAATGACTTATAGATCATATGAAGTTCCCTATATCTAGCTCTTAGTGTTCTTGTACTTCAATCATGCATGCTTTTATCAATGTCTCACTCGATGTTGTCGCGTACTGACACCTCGTTCGCGCCATAATTTCGTCCCACACAACAAGCAGCCCCCGCTTTTGGATCAGTCTGCAATGTCCATTGTCATTAGCTCTAGCTACGCCCAGAATTGTATTTACGGGCTAGCGTAAATCACGGGGACACCGAAGCTTGAGGTTGTTGGCCTGTTCAAGGAACTTCACGCTACGCTAGACGCCTGGCTTCGCTCGTGCTGTTGGCGTTGTTTGTTGTAGGAACCCGTAGTACGAAGGAAGGAGATGGTTGTAGAAGGCAAACGGTATACGCCTTTAGCCACAGCTCGTTACCATTGTTACTCTATTGTCAGTTGTAGTCTACGTGTTTCGCTTGTGTCAGTCCCTAATTCCCGGTTGTATGATCTCGTCAGTCGTCTGTTGTAGAATCTCGGTTTCGCTACTGTCACTTGTGAAGAAAGCAAGCTGACCTAGAACAGCGGAAGGGCCTTCGTATCTTACAGCCTCGTCAACTATTGTCGGCGTATGGATCTGATTTCGTTCTTGTCTCGTTTTTCTGAAGCTAGCGGTGCTTGTAACAAGCCCACAGCTGTAACGCCTGTGTACATGGCTTAGATAACTTTCTGCTGACGTGTCACCCTTCCAGTTTCCGCCATGTCAGCAGCCAGCCGTCGCCGGAAGAGCATCAATGCGCTGGCATCGCCCACTCGCGTGTCGACACGTCGGACAGCACGGACGGTCATTGACTTGGCGTGTGACGACGCAGGGGAGAGGGAAAGCAGTCAGGAAAGGGATGTGAAAGAGGGTAACCGCGACAATTGCGAGAAAGAGGGTAACCGTGCGAAAAGGGGTGACCGTGAGAACGAGGGTAACACGGAGAGGTACGCGGGAGGCACTGGGGAAGACGATGGAAGGGAAGGCAAACGCTCGTCTAAGAATGGGCGTGGGGACAGGAGGGGAAGAGGCAGAGCGCGGGGGAGAGCCGGGAGGAGGGTCTCGACAGGGAGAAGAGGAAAGAACACTGATGCTGACCAGGACGACCAGGGCGATAGAGGCGACCTGGACGACGACCAGGGGAACCACGTTGACCAGGTTGACCAGGTTGACCACGTTGACCTGATTGACCAGGAGGGGAACCAGGGTGATCAGAGCGACCGGGTTGACCTGGTTGACCAGGGCGACCGGGGTGATCGGAACGAGGCTGACGACTTGGAAGTTACAGGGGTCCAGGGGAGTAGAAGCGAGCCCGTTGAGGTGGCAGACGATGACGTGGCACGAGGAGATGCTGACGTGGCGCCCTTGGATCGTGTCCAGTTAGCAGACAGAACCTGGGATGACGTGGCAGCAGCGTCAGGGGTCATTGAATGGGCTCCGTCAAGCAAGAAGAAGTACAGATATGCGAGGGGAATAGAGCTCCCCCCCTCTCACTGCAGATTCGTGCTGGGATTAGAAGCTCCTCACCCTCCTCACCCTCCTCACAACAGTGCTGTGGAAACGATTAGAGGCTCCGAGAAAAGAGTTTTAGGGACGTCTGAGCGTTTTGAAAAGAGAGCTCTAGGAACGACTGGGGAATGTGAGAGAAGAGCTTTAGGGACTTCTGAGGGTATAGAGAAGAGTGATCCGCGGAGCAGTGGCACTGAAGCAGGGCTGAGCAGTGCTCGCGGTGAGGAGAGGGGTGAAAGTAGAAGCTCAACGGAAGGGGAAGAGGAGGGAGAGGAGGGGAAGGAGGGGGAGAAGAGGGAGGAGGATTGGGAGGAGGAGGAGGCGGGAGAGAAGGGGGAGAAGGGGGAGGTGGGGAAGAAGGGGAAGGAAGGGGAGAAGGGGGAGGATGGTGATGTGACAGGAGGTCGTGGCAGGCTTTATGGACGTGAGGAGGTGAGAGATGGTGGTCCGGAAGGTGTCTGTAGGCTTAGTGAAGATGCCTGTATGGGGGATGGACGTAAAAACGATGGGGGGAAGGGGAACCAGGTGGAGAAGGGAGGAGGTGGGAAGGGTGGCGGTAAGGAGAGGGGTGGAGAGGACGGGGGTGGAAAGGAGGGTGGCGATGGCAAGCGGGGTGGTGGTGGTGCTGTGGATGGTGCTCTAGGCGATGGGTGTACTGGCAGTGCGGCAGGAGGGAGAGATGGAAACGGGGAAGATGAGGAGGGGGGAGATGGGGAGAGGGAAGATGGGAATGGGGGAGAGAAAAGGGGCGATGGGAAGGCGGGAGATGAAGGGAGGGGGAATGGGAAGGGTGGTAAGGAGAAGCCATGCGCTTCAGTGCATGAGGCAGGAACCACCACCCAGCAGCACTGCGCTCTTATTGAGTCTGCTACTAATGAGAATGCCCTTCTCGACGCATCGACCAGTCAGCAACAGGGCGCTGTTGTGGTGTCATCAGCGGTTGCGACTTCCCAGAAGCGAGCTATTGTGGTGGCATCAGCTATTGAGGCATCTCAAGAGGGCACTCTCCCATCATCAGCTCTTGAGACGTCTCAGGAGGGTGCTATTATGGTGGCATCATCCCCTGAAGGCCAGCATGCTGCCTGTCAGCCGTGTTCCCCCCGCCCGTTTGTCTTCACCAGGGACCAGTGCCAGCAGTGGCTGGACAGGTGAGGGCTGCACACGTGAGGGCTGCACACGTGAGGGCTGCACACGTGAGGGCTGCACACGTGAGGGCTGCACACGTGAGGGCACTTGCAGCTAAGGTGCTTAGCCAACAGATGGATCTCTTTCATCCCATCCCATGTCATCCCATCCCATGTCATCCCATCCCATGCCATCCCATCCCATGTCATCCCATCCCATGCCATCCCATCCCATGCCATCCCATCCCATGTCATCCCAACCCATGCCATCCCATCCCATGGCATCCCAACCCATGCCATCCCATCCCATGTCATCCCAACCCATGTCATCCCAACCCATGTCATCCCATCCCATGTCATCCCAACCCATGTCATCCCAACCCATGTCATCCCAACCCATGTCATCCCATCCCATGTCATCCCATCCCATGTCATCCCAACCCATGTCATCCCATCCCATGTCATCCCAACCCATGTCATCCCAACCCATGTCATCCCATCCCATGTCATCCCATCCCATGTCATCCCAACCCATGCCATCCCATCCCATGCCATCCCATCCCATGCCATCCCATCCCATGTCATCCCATCCCATGCCATCCCATCCCATGCCATCCCATCCCATGTCATCCCAACCCATGCCATCCCATCCCATGCCATCCCATCCCATGCCATCCCATCCCATCCCATCCCATCCCATCCCATCCCATCCCATCCCATCCCATCCCATCCCATCCCATCCCATCCCATCCCATCCCATCCCATCCCATCCCATCCCATCCCATCCCACCCCACCCCATCCCATCCCATCCCATCCCATCCCATCCCATCCCATCCCATCCCATCCCATCCCATCCCATCCCATCCCATCCCATCTCATCCCATCCCATCCCATCCCATCCCATCCCATCCCACCCATCCCATCCCATCCCATCCCACCCCACCCCACCCCACCCCACCCCACCCCACCCCACCCCACCCCACCCCATCCCATCCCATCCCATCCCATCCCATCCCATCCCATCCCATCCCATCCCATCCCATCCCATCCCATGCCATCCCATGCCATCCCATGCCATCCCATGCCATCCCATGCCATCCCATGCCATGCCATGCCATGCCATGCCATGCCATGCCATGCCATGCCATGCCATCCCATCCCAACCCATCCCATCCCATCCCATCCCATCCCATCCCATCCCATCCCATCCCATCCCATCCCATGCCATCCCATGCCATCCCATGCCATCCCATCCCATCCCATCCCATCCCATCCCATCCCATCCCATCCCATCCCATCCCATCCCATCCCATCCCATCCCATCCCATCCCATCCCATCCCATCCCATCCCATCCCATCCCATCCCATCGCATCCCCTGAATCTCACCATGCCTTGCTTGTGCCAACCATGTTCTCCCCACGCGCTTGTGCACCCCTCTGCTCCACTCCGCCTTTGCAGGGTTGAAGGGCGAACGTTCACTTATCCCACCAGGTATGTATGCTGTGGTGTGACAGTGACACAGTGTGGTGGGGTACGGTGCACAGTGGTACAGTGTAGGTATTTTACAACATGTTGTCTCAAAGGTCACCTCACTTCGTATCCAGCCAGGTGTGGTGTGGTGTGACACGACACAGTGTGGTGCAAATGTGTACGACAGTGGTACTATCTAGGTATGATGTGTGTGGTGTGTGATAGTGCGGTGCAGTTCGGTGCAAAGGGTTTCCAGCGTTGCATGCATACATGCGACAGCAGGGCTGGTGGGTTGAGTGAAGTCAATCCTTCTACGTCCCACTCCCCTCGCACCATCAGGCCCGTGCCGTCCGGCTTTTGAGTCGACTCAAAATGTGTCGTGTGCCATTGTAACGAGGTGACTTTTGAGTCGACTCAAAAGTCATCCCGCTCCCCTCGCACCATCAGGCCTGTCCCGTCCGGCACCCCTCTCTCTTCCTCACTCTATTGAATAGCTTGTTTTATCCGTGATTCGTGGATGCGCACTGGCAGCAGCTGAGTGCGGTGGAGGTGCGCGGACTTGCAACGGCTGGGGGCAACGGGGAGCCAAACCCTCTTCTCCCTGCTGTTACTCCCCTCATCGTCCCTTCCCTCCCTCCTTCCCACCCTCCCGTGCAGGCAGCAGCTGGGTGCGGTGGAGGTGAAAGCGGCGGACTTGCAACGGCTGGGGACAAGGGAGTGAAGTGAAGTGAAGTGGGTCTGACCTTTTCGTCCCTCCATCCCTCTCCTCCCTTCCATCCCTCCTCACCCTTGTGTAACCATGTGTCCGTATAGGCAGCAGCTGGGCGCAGTGGAGGTGAAAGCAGCAGACTTGCAGCGGCTGCTGCCAGGGGAGTGTTTGAACGACACAGTCATCGACTTTTATGTCAAGTAGGTGTGTCCTTGATTGATTTATGTCTTGTCAATAGGTCCTTCTGAGTCAACTCAAGAGGGGAGGGGAGTGTTTGAACGACACGGTCATCGACTTTTATGTCAAGTAGGTGTGTCCTTGATTGGATGTCAAGTGGATGTGTTCTTGATCAGATGTAATGTGTATATGCATGTGTTTGTTATGTCAAGTAGGTGTGTCCCTGATTTCATGCCAAGTATGGGTGCCTGCCCGGTGTCGTTGATTTGAGATGTTGCCAGATTCAGGCTTTTGGAAAATATCTTGTTGCGAATACAAACATGCCTGTCGATGATGTTGAGGATTGGTAATTGCACCCATGCCCTGTCCAGGTTCATTGAACAGACGATGCTGCAGGAGCCGCAGCGCTCGCGGTTCCACTTCTTCAGCACCTTCTTCTCCACCTCGCTCTCCCGCGCGCAGGAGCGATTCGTGAGTGCCCCTCCTGCTGTGCTGTGCCCTGCCTCCGCACCGTGCTTCTGCCTCTCCCTTGCCAAAGGCTGAACCAGGATTCCCCATAAGCTGATGCACCACCCTTCTCTCCAACCTCCTCCCTTTCCTCTCTCCTGACCCGACACCAGAAGCTGACTCAGGACCCACACGAGCTGATGCGGCTGCCCATGTGTCCTTCCCGTTTGCCTTCCCCCTGCAATTTCCCCGCCCTTCTCCCTCCCTTTCCTCTCTCCTGCCCCAACACCAGAAGCTGACTCAGGACCCACACGAGCTGATGCGGCTGCCCATGTGTCCTTCCCGTTTGCCTTCCCCCTGCAATTTCCCCGCCCTTCGCTCGTGCTTCTCGTTTTCGCTTCACGCTTATGCTTCTGCTTTTGCATCATGCTTTTGGCCTATTGCCTCATTCGATTCTCGCTCATGCATCTCGCTTATGTGCGTCATGTGCTTGAATTTTCGGTAACTCAAATATGTTTCCCTCCCCCCGTCTTCTCCCAATTGTCATTCTCCTGTCTCACACAATGGTCTTCATCCTTCTGCTTGTAACATTCCCCTTTCCTTAACCCGCTAATCGCTTTCACGCACCCTTCCCCCCCCTCCCCCCGCCGTTCGCCTGTCCCTCTGTGCCTAAACAGAGCGCTTGGCTCTTATTCGTCAGCAAAGGGAAGAGGCAGCGAAGAAGAAAGAGGAGGAGCGCTTGGGTAAGTACACTTCTACAAGTACTGATTTGAACTTTTCTGGTTCTGTGATGATGTTGGTGGGTATTTTCAGCGTTTCTTCCTGCTTCCTCGTACTGTTGGCAGTTGATTTTTGTTCCTCTTTTTTCTCAGTAAGCTGACCGTCCGTTCATTGACTTTACCTCAATATCACTTGCGTGTGCAGCAAAGGAGGCCAAAAAACTAGAAGCTCGCAAAAGATGACAGCATGCAATATTTGTCTCTTTTCTTGTATCTTAGTTGTACCAAATAACGCAATGGTTGAGTTAGTTGCACATTCTCCGGCTATTCGAGTTATTGCAAACCCTCCTGCTAAAGCCCTGCGGCTCGCGATATTCCCTAGGCATCGGGACCCCCCGCGCGCGCTTCAACCTCCTGTTTTGACGGTTCCCGCCTAAAACTGACGGAGCATTCTCGACTCGTTTCCTCTGTCCCATACCGCGCTTTGGGAAGATTTTATGGAAGTCCAAAGCCGGGATGGGACGCGCGTTGCGCGGCACTAGCGATCTGCCCTAATGACAATACTTTAGCACGATACCTCATCCGCGGCTAGGGCGGGGATTCGTTGGCGAGCGTGTGTTTTCGTGGTTCATTATCTACCCTAAAATGGCGAACTCGTTTTGTTCTCCTTGCGTCGCGACATCAAGGGATCACGGAATCTCTCATATTTGCGGCGTTCGTCAAACAACCGGGGTTCCTGCTCGGCACGGTTCGTGTTTCAGTACTGTTCGCGATAGTTCCCACATCACATCGTACCACGTCAGTAGTGGCCGCCATCCCCGCCAGCGTTGCCAGTGGAAACCGAGCCGGGTAGTCGCTCGTGCTGAGTCAGCACGATCAGGGAGCGGGAATGACGGAGGGAATGGCGCGAATGACGACGAGCCCATCAAAGTGGAGGTCTCGCCGAACCTGACCGTCGCGCTCGGCGACGAGGTTCGGCGTTTGACAGCAGGTTCGGACGGAGGTTTGGAGGGAGCAGTCAAGGAGAAGGGCCTGAGTCTGATCGAGCAGAACGAGCGTAGAAGGCAAGCTCGAAAAGCCGCTGCCGCCGCCGCCGCTGCTGCTGCTGCGGCTGCTGCTGCTGCTGGTGGTGATGCCGCTGCTACAGCTGATGTTCCTTCAACAATCACGGCTGTAGCAGATTCGCCAAGAAGTGAGGAAGCGCGGGCAACAGTAGCAGCAGCAGCATCGCCAGCAGCGGCGGGTGAAACACGCGCTTTCATTGCTGACGAGGCGGCGTACGTGTCCATGGTGAAACGCGCCGCGGCTGCCACGTCAGCTTGGCGACAGGCGGTACCGTTCCCCCTGAGTGATTTCTTTTTCGACCCGGACGGGGTTGGGGTTAAGAGGGGGAGGGAGGAAGAAGAACGGCTCATTCATGACATCTATTTCAAGGTACGTGTGATTGGCTGCTATTTTGATCTTTGAGACGATCCAAACTCAGATGTCTCATGTTACTTATGTTTGAATTGAGGTGTCGCATGCAATGTACGGCATCTGCTTCTCCTTGAGTGTGAGCTTCCTTTCTGTGATGATGATAAAAGAAACACACACACACGCGCGCGCGCGCTTGCGTTTTCTTCTTCAATGTAACCCCGTTGTGCGCCCGTGCAGGCTGAGAACGGCCGGCCTTTGGAACAGGTCGACACAGAAGGCATCAAGGCAAAGGTATGGTCATTTAGCACAGCCAATTCAGGGCATAATGTTCCTGGGCATATGACGCTATATCTCTTTGCGTTGCATGTCCCGTGATTTGCATTTCTCTTATCTTTCCTGCATACCCCCCCAGCCATGGGCCAGGAGGAAAGCCAGAGCGTATGACCTTTTTCCATCTGAACACAACCCCCTTGCTCTGGCTTGTTTTCTGATGATTTTCCTTGCTCTGGCCTTTCTGCATCGCCCTTCACCGCACAACGTGTTTGTCTCAAGGTGCTGACGTCATCAAGGTTTGAGGTTGAGTCAGCAGTGAATCCACGTCAGTGCCAGCAAGGAGTGGTCTTCTATGGCCGCCTCTCTGCCCCTGCTCCTTCTGTGTACTCCACCATTCAAGTAAGGCTCTGTTCGTCTGTCGGTCACAATGTGTATGTGTTGCGTTTGCTAGCTGATCAACAATGCATTAGCCCTATGACCTGGCATACACCACCCCCTTACTTCCTCCAATCATTTTTACCGTTCCCGTCTTCTTTCCTGCTCTTGCTCCCCTCCTTCTGCCTTCTTCCTCTTCACTTTCGTCCATCTTCCTCCTCCTCCCCTCCGCATCATTGTCCTCCTACTTTTCTCCACCCAGGCTCGCCTCGACACCTCGTTCCCCGGCCTCTGCGCAGTGCTCGCTAGAGACGACATCATCCGTCCGGCAATCAGCGTCCTTATTGCCCCACGGCAACACCTCCTCTCCTTCTCCCTCCCCCGCCCCGTCTTCACCTTCATTTCCTGCCTCACTCTCTCTCTCTCCCTCCTCATCCTCTCCTCCTCTCTCTCTGTTGACCCTACTCTCTCTCCCACCACCTCTCCTCTCCTCACTGCTGCCTCTGTGCCACTTGGCGTGCTCCTAGTGGCTGCTGCTGGTGCTGGGGGGAGGGCTATAGCAGCACAGCAACATGGGGTATTTCAAGCCCTAGATACCCCTCTCCCTCTACCCTCCCCTGCCTTCGGGTTATTCGGGGTTCTATCCCCATATAAAGGGTTACTTCCAAACCGTACCGTTCTTCTCGATCTGTCTCTCAGCAGTGCAATCGCCTCTTTCTCTACATCTGCTGCTCTCATTCTCCTCGGCCTCCTCCAATCCGATACAGTCACACCTGATGTAGTCACCTTTCCAGCTTCCAACTTCTCACACTCCCATGTCCTCTCCTCCCTCGCATCTGACCTAGCATCGGCCGTACTCATTACTAGCCCCGACTCCCTACAGTCTACAGTCTCCACAGGCGCTTCTACAGTAGATCTCGCAATAAACCCACTCATTCTAGCCGGATTACTTGGTATCAACTTCTCCTCTCTCTCTTTGCTACCTGTGGGTATTCTTGATGGCGGTCGCATAATCACAGCACTGTTTGGAAGGAAGCAGCAGCACGCAGTGTCCATGGGTGTGCTAGCAGCAGCAGCAGTTTCCCTTGTTCTCAGACCAGACGGCAGGGAGAATGCAGCGACGTGGTTGGTGCTGGCGATGGTTCTGCTGAAGCGAGATGACTGGTTTCAACGGGAAGAGGTTTCGGAGCCTTCGGGAGTGCGGAAGCTGGTTGCAGCTGCGCTTGTAGCTGCTTCGATATTGATATTGTGGCCTTGATGCAATGCAACATAACATGAGATGAGTGATTGTTTGCTCCATACCAGTGTGCAATACGGCATCCAGTACGTACTCCATATTTTTATCCTATTCGATTTTGAATGTATGGTGAAGTGAAGCTGTGTTTTTGTAAAACAAACTTCACGTCAATGTGCTCTTTCTAGATAACAGAACAGAACCTTTCAGCTGCATGGATCAAAACCGTGCGTGAGACCCGTGTGTCCTTGGAACTGGAAGTTCAGGGACATTGCTCACATACCCTAGTAAGTACCGTAAGTGCGTAGTGTAACACATTCATAAATGTATGCATGTTAATTAGGCTTTGAAATGACAGGTTTCATGCGGTACTAACGTATGTACAAGCACATTAACCAATGCTTTATCGCCCCATCACATGCTAAGCTCCTTGCGAAGAGCCCTGTCTCGGGCTCACTGGTGTCCTCGAATCAATCAATGCGGCTGAACTAGGCAAGACTAACTAAAGAGAGTACGGTAGGCTGGTTGCACTCGGGCTGGGGGGCTGCAGCAAGTTGCACCTCCAGGGCCCTCAAATCCTATTGAGAGTAAGCTTAAAACGAGTATGGGAGGTTAGGCCTCAGGTGAGTCTTGGAGGGCTGGTCTCAGAGTGCCTGGCTCCAGCTAGTTGCATCTAGAGAGGTGGGGTGAGGTCCAAAGGGTGGTGTGAATCTCAGAGGTTGGTGTGAATCTCAGAGGGTGGTGTGAATCTCAGAGGTTGGAGTGAACCTAGGGGCGAATCTCATAAGGTGGGGTAGAATCTTCAAGGGTTGGTCGCACTGTGCCGGGTTCCAGCAGGTCACGGCAGGCAGGGTGTCGCTTCATGAACGTCTCCTGTTGGGAAAGTAAACGCTAGAGAGGTTAAACGTGGATATGATATGATGATACAATGGGAAGGGTTTGTCACAGAATGCCGGGTTCCAGCAGGTCACGCTAGGCAGGGTGTCGCTTCATGAACGTCTCCTGTTGGGAAGGGACGGAAGCGAGGTGAGGCGTGTCTGTGAAATTGACATGATGGGAAGCGAGGGTGAGATGTGACGAGAAGTGAGGAGAGACGAGGAACAGAGGAGCGTGGTAGCTCGTAATGACAGAGGTCAGGATAGCACGCCCCCCACCCCTCACTCACATCTGCTAGGTTCAAACACCGGTACAATTTTGAAGCAACCACATGTGTGGCGCATGCCTCAACATAAGGCCACGTGAGTGGCACGTGGGTGGCACGTACCTCAACATAAGAGCACGTGGGTCGCACGTAGAGCCCGTTCTCCTTGGCGTAGTCGCACGCGGCTTCGCACAGCCGCGCCGCGAGGCCCTCGCCGCGTCGACTCGGCGGGACGTACGTGTGCGTGATGTCCATCACGCCGCGTTTCACGCCGCTCGTCGCGCTCGTTGCCACAGAAGCTTCCGACGACGCGGCGGCCTGGGAAGGCGAGAGAAGGTCGTATTCGGCGAAGGCCTGGCCGTCGCTCGTCATGAACTTGTGCGACGCGATGTCGTGCACGATCGTCGCACGCGATTCGTGGGGCGGCTCTTGCGGCTGGGCTTGCGAAGCCATGCTGCGAAATACTGCGATTTCGCTTCCTTTCGACTGGATTTCGTTCACCCGCCTCTCGCGAAACCCAGGTGTTGCTGTTGGAGCGTGTCGAAGCCGCCCTGCGGTTGTATTCGAGAGAAGCGAACGCGATAACGAACGAAGAAACATCGTTACGGTTCAAGGTGATTTATGATGCAAAAAAAAGATTGAAGTTTAGTCGATTGACCCCCGCAACAGGTCGCGCATGGCCCACGAAAACACGCTACAAGGAACCAGCGAATAAACAGCAGTAGAACCTACTAGTATCTAAGGATCTTGGGCCTAGGAGACGGGGAAAAACACTGGGGAGGAAGAGCTAAGCAAAACGTCAAATGTTTGCCAGGTGAGCACCACTAACTTGCTGCTGCAACCAGGGAGTACGAGCCACCAGGGTCGAGGAGGACGAAGCATGATGACAAGACGATTTCTACATCCTACATGCACCCCCCACAGCGCATCGGCTAGCCGCCACGCGTGCAGCTTCTCCGTCGGCCTCGAATGGCTCAATCCATCGTTGCACGACAGCCTGCGATCTGCATCTCCCACGGTCACCCGAATGACTCAATCCATCTGTCCTGTCCTATCTTCATTGTCCTTGAAATCCACTCCGCTCAAACGTTACCGGCCCATGTTCGGGTCACGAGTCACAACACATAATCACTTTATAGGATAATCACATTTTCATCGTCACATGGTTACAGGTTTATGTATCCTTAGGACACGGAGCACGACTTTTTCTCCCACATGCCGTCCTCCTTGAGTCCCGGCCATGGCTTGCACGCGCACCGCTTGTCTTCGGGAATGCTATTGTAGACGCTCTCCACGTGCATGCCGCAACCCATCCACGTGTACTTGCCGCACGATTTGCAAGGGGTCTTGTGACACATGTTCGCCACGTGGCACCACGAGGTATGCTCGCTTGTTCAGATAGAAACGGCAGCGGAAATAAAGACGCCCGGCGCAACGTGACGGATTGTCCGCGCGAAATTGTTGCTGACACAAGAAACGATGGACTTATGCGATTAGGAGAGCTTAGATGCAACGAGAACAAGTTTAGGGAAGGTAGTTTGTGAGGCGAGGCTATCCTAATCGTAAAATACTCGGGAAAAGGCTGTTGAGGAATTGCGTACGAATCTGCCTGCTGCCATGGCTGCCAGCTTCGGGTGCGGAACGAAACTTCGACGGAAATTTGCTCAAGTGGCTAAATCCGCGTTACGGACTGATATGGTACTAGAACCAACTACTTCGAGCTCAACCAATATACCCAGATCAATTTCACTTTCATAAGTAGCGGAACAGTGGACGTCTATCTGCACTACAAGCCCTTGTCCAACTGGTCGGAATAGAAGTTCTCATACAGAAAACATGATTCCATTCCCCCTCTATCCAGACGATCTTCCCTCCACTGGACGAACTCTCGCCGGAATCTAATTTAATGAGGCTTCCCTGGCTAAATTGGCCAAGAAAAAAAGTATGGACTTCACTCCTCAGATCAGGCAAGCAGTTTCGTCAAAACTGGACCCAACACAGCACAGTCTCTACGAACTGTGTTTCGGGAGCAACCTAATTGACCTCCTATCTCTCTTTCGAGAATGAAAGGCCAACACTGGGCTAAATCACGCCCAGAGCGCAAGCAAGCACATGGAGAATGCACCCAAGAAGAGCGACACAAACCCGAGGAAGTACAGCACCGGAGACTTGGGTGTACCCTCATCACTCTCATCGAACGCAGGCACTATGAGGTCAACAAGGCCGTTATAAATGAGGATACCGGCAGAGATGGCATTGAAAGCACCCTCTGTAGCCAGAGCAGCCTTGCTAGCAGGGTTGTAGGAGGAATAGATTGCGAGGCCAATGACGACACCGATGGGTGTTGTGAGGGCAAAGAGGAGCCCCATGATGATTGTTTTGAGCTTGGAGAACTGGCAGGGGATGAGTGTTGTGCCAAGGCTGATGCCCTCAAATCCCTGTACATGGACAGACAGCCACAGGACAGGAAAACACACGGATTATAAGAACCAGGAGTTGAGCAGACTTCCGGTTTCTTGAATCATTATTGCAGGTGCACATGTGATCGATGAGGCGAATGTGATGCAGGATGTCTTACCTGATGGAACATGAGGGCAATGACGAGACTTTGGATCTCCTCAATGTCTTGTGTTGTTCCAAGGGCGATTCCAATGAATATAGAATGGAAAATGATTCCAGCTTCGAGTGTATATGACGTTGCACAGTAACCACTGACGATGAGTGCCTTCTCATCCTCTTCTGTGTTCAACCCGCACTCTATGCACTCGCCCTCTGCTGGTGCATGTTTTTTCTCGTTATTAGACTGAAGCGATCTTAGAAGAACCTTCTTCAAGTAACACTCCACCACGAAAGAAATGAGGGCCGCGTAGAGAACGAAAACGGACGCCCATGGAAATGATTCCGCAAAGCCCAGGCAAGGATTGGACAGCGCCGCTTGTGCTCCTGCAGGTGGGGTTTTAGAAAAATTGTTCGAAAATTAGTCTTACGAGATGGTATAAGTATCCCAATCAGTCTTGCTAATCAGATATGGCACATTCCATTTTTTTGTTTGTTTGTTCTTTTTATTCATCATTTGTCCATTTTTATAAGGGCTACAGGATCTCCAATCATGCTGTCAAGGGAAGCACAAGCCGCCAAAAGGTGGTCGTTGAGAAATTTCAGAACCAGTCACAGATGAACGCACCTGGAAATATGTGGACGATCGCGACAGCGAGCACGACGCCCGCCGCGAATGTCCGGAAGAAGAAGAGGATCGATCGGTGCTGCTTCCGGAGAAGGAAAGGTAATGCGAAGCCGATTCTGTGAAAAACGAGGAATCGAGAATTATTAGCTTTAGTGGAAATTGGTATGGCGACGTACACGCGACTCACATAAACAGAAACACTTTGAAGATGGAAAATAAGAACGTCCAGAGTGTAGAATAGGTAGGAGTGCAATGCTCACAAGCTGCACACGAGAATCCCGAACATTCCGCCTATCCTCCATGAGAGCGCCTCCGCTCCGCTGCCCCCGCTGACCGCGCACTCCAGCTCCCCCGCTGGCCCTGGCGCAGGCTCGTCGTGGTGGCCGCCTCCCTGCGTGGCGATAGAGGGACGTGGCAGGGCAAAACAAAGCAATAAGAAGATAATGTGAAATACCGTGGAATCTGGCATTCGGGGTTGGAACGTCCAGCGACGGGGTGGGGAGAAGCGGGATTGGGATTGAGATCGGGATTGGGAAAGCGGAGGATGGAAGCGGACATGGAGAAGGGGGAAGGGGGGGGGTGTACCCTACTTCGTGGGTGGATTTTTTGGGCGCCTCAAAAATCGTGTCATGCGCGAAATAGGTCGAGGGGTCTCAAAAATCGTGTTTTGAGGTGTCAAGAAGCGGGCATGGAGAAGAGGGGGTGTACCCTGCTTCGTGCGTGGAAAAGGCGGGGAGGATTCGCACCATCTCGTCTGCGGGCAGATACGCTCGATGCTGGCTCGGTCACGAGGGTGTCGGGCTAGCGATAAATGCGGCGTCGGGCACGCGGGTGGTACCGAGGTGGTAGGAAATGGAAGTACGTTTGTCGACACGCGCGGATCGCCGAGACGAGGTTGTGCGATTAGAATCTGCTGGTGATTGTCGTCGCTGACGGAGAAGTTTCGGCGCGAGGAACGAGGGGTCTGGTGGTCGTGCTCACGGGAAGGAGCGGGAGAAATAGGGGCCTAGAGACACCCTACGATTCCTGGTCGGGAAAAGCAATCCCAAACGGAGAAAATGCGTGACTAGCATCCTTGAAATGGGCTCCACATTTAGTGTGCGTGATCTGGTCAGTGGATGGGATGGGATGCTTTCGCGCTGACGGCGGCGCAACGGCCAAATGCAGTTGAGGGTTGATCCGGTAAGCTCATTGATCCATTCCACCGAGTCGCGGCCATCTGGTCTGCGTCTACGTTCTCGCGGACAGGTGTTTCTGGGCAAGATGAATATGGCCGCGGTTGTGGCGGGTGGAGCGGTCCGTTGAAATGATTGGCCAGGACGCTTCTGCCAGTTATCCAGGGACCAGAAACGTAGGAGGTGCATTAGGAGGTGAATATGAGGAAGGTTCAGGTGGGGGGGGTTCTAGGGATGTGCTGTGGCGGGGAGGAGAGAGATTCGAGGGTGTGTGGTGTGGTTACAAGGAGAGATACATTATGTATCTGGTCTATGCTGACGTGTCTGAAATTGGTTGTATTACTGGCTAGGTTCGCCTCTTTTCTTCCTTGTGCCAGCGAGGCTCGTAGCTGCTTGTGACACCAGGAGACTTACGATCGCTAACAGCATATTCGGAAACTCTAGATTGTCCTCTGATTACCTTACAAAATGCAGCGTACAGCTCTTGCTATGACTCGGGTAATGCAAAGGTTTGTGTCTATCCGTGGATTTTTTGTAAATATGTGAAACACGAGTTGCATATGTTGACATCCTGATCCAGTGAATTGCATAAGAACGAAAGTATGTCACTGAATGACTTATCGATCATATGAAGTTCCCTATATCTAGCTCTTAGTGTTCTTGTACTTCAATCATGCATGCTTTTATCAATGTCTCACTCGATGTTGTCGCGTACTGACACCTCGTTCGCGCCATAATTTCGTCCCACACAACAAGCAGCCCCCGCTTTTGGATCAGTCTGCAATGTCCATTGTCATTAGCTCTAGCTACGCCCAGAATTGTATTTACGGGCTAGCGTAAATCACGGGGACACCGAAGCTTGAGGTTGTTGGCCTGTTCAAGGAACTTCACGCTACGCTAGACGCCTGGCTTCGCTCGTGCTGTTGGCGTTGTTTGTTGTAGGAACCCGTAGTACGAAGGAAGGAGATGGTTGTAGAAGGCAAACGGTATACGCCTTTAGCCACAGCTCGTTACCATTGTTACTCTATTGTCAGTTGTAGTCTACGTGTTTCGCTTGTGTCAGTCCCTAATTCCCGGTTGTATGATCTCGTCAGTCGTCTGTTGTAGAATCTCGGTTTCGCTACTGTCACTTGTGAAGAAAGCAAGCTGACCTAGAACAGCGGAAGGGCCTTCGTATCTTACAGCCTCGTCAACTATTGTCGGCGTATGGATCTGATTTCGTTCTTGTCTCGTTTTTCTGAAGCTAGCGGTGCTTGTAACAAGCCCACAGCTGTAACGCCTGTGTACATGGCTTAGATAACTTTCTGCTGACGTGTCACCCTTCCAGTTTCCGCCATGTCAGCAGCCAGCCGTCGCCGGAAGAGCATCAATGCGCTGGCATCGCCCACTCGCGTGTCGACACGTCGGACAGCACGGACGGTCATTGACTTGGCGTGTGACGACGCAGGGGAGAGGGAAAGCAGTCAGGAAAGGGATGTGAAAGAGGGTAACCGCGACAATTGCGAGAAAGAGGGTAACCGTGCGAAAAGGGGTGACCGTGAGAACGAGGGTAACACGGAGAGGTACGCGGGAGGCACTGGGGAAGACGATGGAAGGGAAGGCAAACGCTCGTCTAAGAATGGGCGTGGGGACAGGAGGGGAAGAGGCAGAGCGCGGGGGAGAGCCGGGAGGAGGGTCTCGACAGGGAGAAGAGGAAAGAACACTGATGCTGACCAGGACGACCAGGGCGATAGAGGCGACCTGGACGACGACCAGGGGAACCACGTTGACCAGGTTGACCAGGTTGACCACGTTGACCTGATTGACCAGGAGGGGAACCAGGGTGATCAGAGCGACCGGGTTGACCTGGTTGACCAGGGCGACCGGGGTGATCGGAACGAGGCTGACGACTTGGAAGTTACAGGGGTCCAGGGGAGTAGAAGCGAGCCCGTTGAGGTGGCAGACGATGACGTGGCACGAGGAGATGCTGACGTGGCGCCCTTGGATCGTGTCCAGTTAGCAGACAGAACCTGGGATGACGTGGCAGCAGCGTCAGGGGTCATTGAATGGGCTCCGTCAAGCAAGAAGAAGTACAGATATGCGAGGGGAATAGAGCTCCCCCCCTCTCACTGCAGATTCGTGCTGGGATTAGAAGCTCCTCACCCTCCTCACCCTCCTCACAACAGTGCTGTGGAAACGATTAGAGGCTCCGAGAAAAGAGTTTTAGGGACGTCTGAGCGTTTTGAAAAGAGAGCTCTAGGAACGACTGGGGAATGTGAGAGAAGAGCTTTAGGGACTTCTGAGGGTATAGAGAAGAGTGATCCGCGGAGCAGTGGCACTGAAGCAGGGCTGAGCAGTGCTCGCGGTGAGGAGAGGGGTGAAAGTAGAAGCTCAACGGAAGGGGAAGAGGAGGGAGAGGAGGGGAAGGAGGGGGAGAAGAGGGAGGAGGATTGGGAGGAGGAGGAGGCGGGAGAGAAGGGGGAGAAGGGGGAGGTGGGGAAGAAGGGGAAGGAAGGGGAGAAGGGGGAGGATGGTGATGTGACAGGAGGTCGTGGCAGGCTTTATGGACGTGAGGAGGTGAGAGATGGTGGTCCGGAAGGTGTCTGTAGGCTTAGTGAAGATGCCTGTATGGGGGATGGACGTAAAAACGATGGGGGGAAGGGGAACCAGGTGGAGAAGGGAGGAGGTGGGAAGGGTGGCGGTAAGGAGAGGGGTGGAGAGGACGGGGGTGGAAAGGAGGGTGGCGATGGCAAGCGGGGTGGTGGTGGTGCTGTGGATGGTGCTCTAGGCGATGGGTGTACTGGCAGTGCGGCAGGAGGGAGAGATGGAAACGGGGAAGATGAGGAGGGGGGAGATGGGGAGAGGGAAGATGGGAATGGGGGAGAGAAAAGGGGCGATGGGAAGGCGGGAGATGAAGGGAGGGGGAATGGGAAGGGTGGTAAGGAGAAGCCATGCGCTTCAGTGCATGAGGCAGGAACCACCACCCAGCAGCACTGCGCTCTTATTGAGTCTGCTACTAATGAGAATGCCCTTCTCGACGCATCGACCAGTCAGCAACAGGGCGCTGTTGTGGTGTCATCAGCGGTTGCGACTTCCCAGAAGCGAGCTATTGTGGTGGCATCAGCTATTGAGGCATCTCAAGAGGGCACTCTCCCATCATCAGCTCTTGAGACGTCTCAGGAGGGTGCTATTATGGTGGCATCATCCCCTGAAGGCCAGCATGCTGCCTGTCAGCCGTGTTCCCCCCGCCCGTTTGTCTTCACCAGGGACCAGTGCCAGCAGTGGCTGGACAGGTGAGGGCTGCACACGTGAGGGCTGCACACGTGAGGGCTGCACACGTGAGGGCTGCACACGTGAGGGCACTTGCAGCTAAGGTGCTTAGCCAACAGATGGATCTCTTTCATCCCATCCCATGTCATCCCATCCCATGTCATCCCATCCCATGCCATCCCATCCCATGTCATCCCATCCCATGCCATCCCATCCCATGCCATCCCATCCCATGTCATCCCAACCCATGCCATCCCATCCCATGGCATCCCAACCCATGCCATCCCATCCCATGTCATCCCAACCCATGTCATCCCAACCCATGTCATCCCATCCCATGTCATCCCAACCCATGTCATCCCAACCCATGTCATCCCAACCCATGTCATCCCATCCCATGTCATCCCATCCCATGTCATCCCAACCCATGTCATCCCAACCCATGTCATCCCAACCCATGTCATCCCATCCCATGTCATCCCAACCCATGTCATCCCAACCCATGTCATCCCATCCCATGTCATCCCATCCCATGTCATCCCACCCATGCCATCCCATCCCATGCCATCCCATCCCATGCCATCCCATCCCATGCCATCCCATCCCATGCCATCCCATCCCATGCCATCCCATCCCATGCCATCCCATCCCATGTCATCCCACCCATGCCATCCCATCCCATGCCATCCCATCCCATGCCATCCCATCCCATCCCATCCCATCCCATCCCATCCCATCCCATCCCATCCCATCCCATCCCATCCCATCCCATCCCATCCCATCCCATCCCATCCCACCCCATCCCATCCCATCCCATCCCATCCCATCCCATCCCATCCCATCCCATCCCATCCCATCCCATCCCATCCCATCCCATCCCATCCCATCCCATCCCATCCCATCCCATCCCATCCCATCCCATCCCATTCCATCCCATCCCATCCCATCCCATCCCATCCCATCCCACCCCACCCCACCCCATCCCATCCCATCCCATCCCATCCCATCCCATCCCATCCCATCCCATCCCATCCCATCCCATCCCATCCCATCCCATCCCATCCCATCCCATCCCATCCCATGCCATCCCATGCCATCCCATGCCATCCCATGCCATCCCATGCCATCCCATGCCATGCCATGCCATGCCATGCCATGCCATGCCATGCCATGCCATCCCATCCCAACCCATCCCATCCCATCCCATCCCATCCCATCCCATCCCATCCCATCCCATCCCATCCCATCCCATGCCATCCCATGCCATCCCATGCCATCCCATCCCATCCCATCCCATCCCATCCCATCCCATCCCATCCCATCCCATCCCATCCCATCCCATGCCATCCCATCCCATCCCATCCCATCCCATCCCATCCCATCCCATCCCATCCCATCCCATCCCATCCCATCCCATCCCATCCCATCCCATCCCATCCCATCCCATCCCATCGCATCCCCTGAATCTCACCATGCCTTGCTTGTGCCAACCATGTTCTCCCCACGCGCTTGTGCACCCCTCTGCTCCACTCCGCCTTTGCAGGGTTGAAGGGCGAACGTTCACTTATCCCACCAGGTATGTATGCTGTGGTGTGACAGTGACACAGTGTGGTGGGGTACGGTGCACAGTGGTACAGTGTAGGTATTTTACAACATGTTGTCTCAAAGGTCACCTCACTTCGTATCCAGCCAGGTGTGGTGTGGTGTGACACGACACAGTGTGGTGCAAATGTGTACGACAGTGGTACTATCTAGGTATGATGTGTGTGGTGTGTGATAGTGCGGTGCAGTTCGGTGCAAAGGGTTTCCAGCGTTGCATGCATACATGCGACAGCAGGGCTGGTGGGTTGAGTGAAGTCAATCCTTCTACGTCCCACTCCCCTCGCACCATCAGGCCCGTGCCGTCCGGCTTTTGAGTCGACTCAAAATGTGTCGTGTGCCATTGTAACGAGGTGACTTTTGAGTCGACTCAAAAGTCATCCCGCTCCCCTCGCACCATCAGGCCTGTCCCGTCCGGCACCCCTCTCTCTTCCTCACTCTATTGAATAGCTTGTTTTATCCGTGATTCGTGGATGCGCACTGGCAGCAGCTGAGTGCGGTGGAGGTGCGCGGACTTGCAACGGCTGGGGGCAACGGGGAGCCAAACCCTCTTCTCCCTGCTGTTACTCCCCTCATCGTCCCTTCCCTCCCTCCTTCCCACCCTCCCGTGCAGGCAGCAGCTGGGTGCGGTGGAGGTGAAAGCGGCGGACTTGCAACGGCTGGGGACAAGGGAGTGAAGTGAAGTGAAGTGGGTCTGACCTTTTCGTCCCTCCATCCCTCTCCTCCCTTCCATCCCTCCTCACCCTTGTGTAACCATGTGTCCGTATAGGCAGCAGCTGGGCGCAGTGGAGGTGAAAGCAGCAGACTTGCAGCGGCTGCTGCCAGGGGAGTGTTTGAACGACACAGTCATCGACTTTTATGTCAAGTAGGTGTGTCCTTGATTGATTTATGTCTTGTCAATAGGTCCTTCTGAGTCAACTCAAGAGGGGAGGGGAGTGTTTGAACGACACGGTCATCGACTTTTATGTCAAGTAGGTGTGTCCTTGATTGGATGTCAAGTGGATGTGTTCTTGATCAGATGTAATGTGTATATGCATGTGTTTGTTATGTCAAGTAGGTGTGTCCCTGATTTCATGCCAAGTATGGGTGCCTGCCCGGTGTCGTTGATTTGAGATGTTGCCAGATTCAGGCTTTTGGAAAATATCTTGTTGCGAATACAAACATGCCTGTCGATGATGTTGAGGATTGGTAATTGCACCCATGCCCTGTCCAGGTTCATTGAACAGACGATGCTGCAGGAGCCGCAGCGCTCGCGGTTCCACTTCTTCAGCACCTTCTTCTCCACCTCGCTCTCCCGCGCGCAGGAGCGATTCGTGAGTGCCCCTCCTGCTGTGCTGTGCCCTGCCTCCGCACCGTGCTTCTGCCTCTCCCTTGCCAAAGGCTGAACCAGGATTCCCCATAAGCTGATGCACCACCCTTCTCTCCAACCTCCTCCCTTTCCTCTCTCCTGACCCGACACCAGAAGCTGACTCAGGACCCACACGAGCTGATGCGGCTGCCCATGTGTCCTTCCCGTTTGCCTTCCCCCTGCAATTTCCCCGCCCTTCTCCCTCCCTTTCCTCTCTCCTGCCCCAACACCAGAAGCTGACTCAGGACCCACACGAGCTGATGCGGCTGCCCATGTGTCCTTCCCGTTTGCCTTCCCCCTGCAATTTCCCCGCCCTTCTCCCTCCCTTTCCTCTCTCCTGCCCCAACACCAGAAGCTGACTCAGGACCCACACGAGCTGATGCGGCTGCCCATGTGTCCTTCCCGTTTGCCTTCCCCCTGCAATTTCCCCGCCCTTCTCCCTCCCTTTCCTCTCTCCTGCCCCAACACCAGAAGCTGACTCAGGACCCACACGAGCTGATGCGGCTGCCCATGTGTCCTTCCCGTTTGCCTTCCCCCTGCAATTTCCCCGCCCTTCTCCCTCCCTTTCCTCTCTCCTGCCCCAACACCAGAAGCTGACTCAGGACCCACACGAGCTGATGCGGCTGCCCATGTGTCCTTCCCGTTTGCCTTCCCCCTGCAATTTCCCCGCCCTTCTCCCTCCCTTTCCTCTCTCCTGCCTTAACACCAGAAGCTGACTCAGGACCCACACGAGCTGATGCGGCTGCCCATGTGTCCTTCCCGTTTGCCTTCCCCCTGCAATTTCCCCGCCCTTCTCCCTCCCTTTCCTCTCTCCTGCCCCAACACCAGAAGCTGACTCAGGACCCACACGAGCTGATGCGGCTGACAAGGTGCCCTTCCGCCCGCCCTTCTCCCAACCCCCCCGTCCTCCGTCCTCCCTCCATCCCACGCCTCCCCCCTTCCCACTTTACCCCTCGCCAGAAGCTGACCCAGGACCCACACGAGCTGATGCGGCTGACACGATGGACGAGGGGTACAGACATCTTTTCAAAGGACTTCATTGTCATCCCCTTCCACGAAGAGTACGTATCCCTGCTCCTTGCGCCTCGCTCTCTCTGGTCGTCCTTGCTGCTCTCTGGTTTCTCTCTTCTTTGCTTGCTTGGCACGGCACGCCAAGCCAAGCCAAGCCACCAAGCAACCAAGGCAAGGTGGGCGAGGGGCAAAAACATCTCCTTTAAGGAATTCATCATCACGCATCGCATCATGCATGCGGCTCTGGTCATGCAGCTTTCCCCTACCACAGCTGTCTCGCCTCTGCTGCTAATGCAGGCTTTGACTATTGTCCATGCTCCCTCCCCCCTTTTTGCCCTCCAACCAAAACCTCCGCTATCCACCCACCCCTCTCCTGATCCGTCCCCTTTTTTACAAAATTTGATTATATATCGGTTGTGCAGGGACCGCAGCCACTGGAGTCTGGCCATCATATGCTTTCTCAGCAAGGATGTGAGGAAGACCACCTGTAAGGGGTCAGGAGAAAGCAGCAAGGGGCCAGGTGAAAACAACAAGGGCCCAGGAGAAAACGGCAAAGCGCCTGGAATTTCAGGAGAAAACAGCAGGGAAACACGAGGTGCAGCGAAGTTAAGGGAAGAGGGCAGCAGGGGAAATGGGGGAGAGAGGGGGAATGGGAAGGGGAGGGGCAATGGGGGAAAAGGGGAGAGGGGCAGGGGGGGCATCGGGGGCAACGGGGGCGTGGGGAGGGGGAGGGGGAAGGAGGGCGCTTTTCAGAAAATTCCGAAAGGGAGGAGGGCGAATCTGAAGAGAAGCAGGGCGGATATGAAAGGAAGGGCGTTGAGTGTTCAAGGAAGGGGGTGGCTTGGGCAAAGCAGGGAAGTGCGAGCATTGTTGGAAGGTGGTAGTAGAAGTTCGACAAGTGAGAGAGGTGCTGTCGTGGCAGAGGGGGGTGAGGAGGGTGGTAGAAAGGGCGATGGGAAAGGGAGAGGCAGCAGTGCTGGTAGAGTGAGGAGGCTTGCTGACGTGGCAGAGGTTGCAGTGGCGGTGGAGAGAGGGGAGGAGGATGAGGAGGGGGAGGTGGGGGAGGAGAGGGAGGATGAGGAGGAGGAGGAAGAGAAGGGTGAAGTTGGAAGGGAGGGGGTTGGGGAGGAGGGGTTTGGGAAGGAGAGGCGAGGGGAGGGAGGGAAAAGTGCGAGAGTTGCGAGTGTGAACCGGCTGGCGAGTGGTGATATCCCCAGTCCCAGGGTGTTGAATCAGGGAGGTCATGCTGTCAGGGTGTTGACTCAGCAGAGAGGTGATATGCCCAGTCCCAGAGTGCGTGGTGGCAGGTCTCATGTGAAGCGAAGGCGGTTGGATGCGGTTGATAGGGATTGTGTGATGCATGATGGGTCGGGGGAGAGCGCAGTGGGCACGGGCGGCATGGGCGGCATGGGTGGCATGGGCGGCATGGGCGGCATGGGCGGCGGCATGGTGTGGGGGGTGAGGAAGCAGGTGCAATCGCGCAGCAGGGCGAGGGTCAAGGCAAGAGAAGGTGCGAAAAGTGAGGATGCACCAGAAAGGGAGGACTCTCGTGCATGTGTGAAGGAGAAGGAAGGGAAGGAGGAGAAGGAGAAGGAGGAGAAGGAGAAGGAGGAGGGGAAGGAAGGAGAGAAGGAGGAGGGGGAGAAGGAGGAGGGGGACGATAAGGATGGAGCGGAGAAGGAGGAAGGGGGGAGAAGGTGGAGGGGAAGGAGAAGGATGAGGGGGAGAAGGAGGAGCGAGAGGAGGAGGAGGAGGAAGTAGGTGCTGTTAAGGGGGTGATTGGCGTTGGAGGAGAGATTGGAGGAGAGGAAATGGAGGATGTGGAAGGGAGGCGTGTAGGGGAGGAGGGAGGGAAGGAGGCAGGGAAGGAAGGAGGGAAGGAGGGAGGGAAGGAAGGAGGGAAGGAGGGAGGGAAGGAGGAAGGGTTGCAGGAGCATGGGGGGATGGGAATGAGAAGGGAGGGTGGCGGTATGGTAAGGGAGGGTATGAGGCTAGAATGGGATGATGTGAAGGGGGTGTGGAGGCTTGGTGGTGGTGAGAAGGAGGCAAGAAAGAGTTTGGAGAGGCAGGTTGAAAGAGACAAAGCTGGAGTTGCTTTTGGGGATTCTCAAGAGAAGCAAAGTGAAGGTGGCAAGGCTGGGGAGGAGGGGGGAGTGGAAAGAGGAGAGGGCGGTGGGGAGGAGGGGGGAGTGGAAAGAGGAGAGGGCGGTGGGAGGAGGGGGGAGTGGAAAGAGGAGAGGGCGATGGGGAGGAGGGGGGAGTGGAAAGAGGAGAGGGCGGTGGGGAGGAGGGGGGAGTGGAAAGAGGAGAGGGCGGTGGGGAGGAGGATGGGTTTAAAGATGAAGCGAGAGAGGAGGGGATTGTTGAAGAGGAGGGAAGTGCAGGGGTGAAGGGAGTTGCAGGAAAGGCGGAAGCTGTGAGGGAGGGAGGGGTGAGAGGGGGAGAGGAGGATGGATTGATTGAAAGAGAGGGAAGGAGTGGCGATAGTGAAGGTCAAGGGCTGGGAGGTGTGGATGTAGTGGAGGGGAGAGAGCAGGGGGGAGTGGAGGGGGGAGGAGAGACGAGAGAGGATGGGAGGGAGGAGGAGAGAGAGGAGGGGGGAGGGGAGAGGCGAGAGGAGGGGAGAGAGGAGCGGTTAGAGGAAGGGAGTGATGGGAAAGATGAAGAAGAGGAGGAGAGATCCGAGAGGATGCACCAGAGGAAAGGTGAAGGTGGAGAGGACAAGAATGTTGGGGAGAAGGAGGGGAACGAGGAGATGAAAGAGGTGAGGGAAGAGGAGGGAAATGTGGAGAGGGAAGAGGAGGGGAAAGAGGAGAGGGAAGAGGAGAGGGAAGAGGAGGGGAAAGAGGAGAGGGAAGAGGAGGGGAAAGAGGAGAGGGAAGAGGAGGGGAAAGAGGAGAGGGGAGAGGAGGGGAAAGAGGAGAGTGAAGAGGAGAGGAAAGAGGAAGTTGGAGAAGAAGAGAAGGTGGGGGAGAAAGTGGAGGGAAAAGGGGAGAGGAAAGAGGAGATTAAAGAGGAGAGTGTACAGGAGGGAAAAGAGGAGAAGAAAGTGAAGATGAAAGACGAGAGGGAAGAGGAGAGGAAAGAGCACAGGAGAAGAGGAGAAGGAAGAGGAGAGGAAAGGGGAAGTTGGAGAAGAAGAGAAAGTGGGGGAGAAAATGGAGGGGAAAGAGGAGAGAAAAGAGGCGAGGGAAGAGGAGAGGAAACGGGTGATGAAAGAGGAGAAGAAAGAGGAGGAAGAGGAAGAGATGGAAGAGGAGATGGAAGAGGAGATGGAAGTGGAGAGGAAGGAGGAGAGGTCAGAGGAGAAAGAAATGGAATTGAAAAAGGAGCGGGAGGAGGAAATTAAAGAGGAGAGGAACGAGGAGATGAAAGAGGAATGGAAAGAGGAGAAGAAAGAAGAGAGGGAAGAGGTCAGGGAAGAGGAGGTGAAAGAGGGGAGGAAAAAGGAGAACGAAGAGGAGAGCAAAGAGGAGAAGAGAGAGGAGAGTGGGGCGAAGGCGGGGCATTCTTGGTTGGGAAGTTGATTACTCATGGAGGGACGGCTATAGCAGATGCTGCTGCTGTTGCACCAACCGCTGCTTTAGCAGCAACTCTGTCTCCAGTGGGTCAAATATTGCCTGCTACAATTTCTCCTGCTGCTGTCTTGCCTGCTACAGCTAGCCCAGCTGTAGATCCACCTGCTACTACTGCTGCTGCTACAGTTGCACCTGCCACACCGGCGCCTGGTCTACCCGCCCCTGCTACAGCTGTTGCAACAGCTGCCCCTGCTACAGCTGCCCCCACCACAGCTGCTCCCACTACAGCTGCCACAGTTGCTACAGCTGCAACAGCCGCAGCTGGACGCGGCATGTCTGCTATGCAGCTGCTGATGGGAGCAGCACGGAATGGCCCTCAGGCCGTGAGCAAGGCAGGTGCACACACTGGTGAGGGCACTCGTGAGGGCACTCGTGAGGGTGTTTGTGTTGATGCTGCTGCTGGGAGAAGTTGTGAGGGACCCACTGGTTCTGATGCAGTGGCTTGTGAGGGAGTTGGTGCTGCTGCTGCTGCTGAGGTGATTCGGAAGAAATGTGAGGAGAGGAGAAGCAGCGAGGGTGGAAAGCAGGTGGCCGTTGAGTCCAGCCCAGAGGTGTTTGGAAAGGTGGGGAGCGGTGTGAATGGGAGTGGTCATGCGAAGATTAGGGAAGGGGAGATGCGGGTGGGGGAAGACGCAGAGGGTGAGGAAGAAGGAAGGGGTGGGCAAGAAGGGAGGGGTGGGCAAGAAGGGAGGGGAAGTGAGGGGGGACAGGAGAGGGAAGGCGAACGAGACGGAAGATCTATGGAAGAGAGAGGAGGCGTCGAGGAGCAGGTTGAACTGGGGGAGGCTGTATCTGATATTAGTGAGGGTCTTGGGGGTTCTTATATGGGGTATGGGGAGAGATATGAGGGGAAGCGTGAGGAGGAAGGAGCGGAGGTGGAGAGAGAGGATTGTGGGGTAGTGGGTGATGAAGGGGTGGAGGGGGGGGGGGGAGGGGGAGGGGGTAGATGAAGGGGAGGAGGAGGGAGAGGAAGGAGAGGAAGGGGAGGAGGGAGAGGAGGATGAGGAGGGAGAGGATGGAGAGGAAGGAGATGATAGGGAGGAGGGAGAGGAAGAAGAGGTGGGAGAGGAAGAAGAGGAGGGAGAGGAGGGAGAGGTAAGGGAGGAGGGAGAGGAGGGATCAGAGGAGGAGGGAGGAGAAGAGGAGGGAGAGGGGAATGGAGGAGAAGAGACAGAAGATATCCAGGCGGAGGGGGGAGAGGAAGGGGAGGAGGAAGGCGAGGAGGAAAACGAGGAGAATCCGGAGAAGGAGGCTGAAGTGGATGGGTCTGGAGGTGTGCATGTGAGGGAAGTAGGGAGCTGGATTCCTGAGTTGGATAATTCTGGTGATGATGGTGGTGATGGTGATGATGGTGATAACGGGGATGATGATGATGTGAAGGAGATAGGTTTCAAAACGTTTCGGGGAGGCAGGGGCAGCGCACGCAGCAGGGGGCGGGCAGGAAAGGCAGCGCAAATGAGACGAGGAGGAAGGAGAGGGGTTCAGGTGCGGGGCAAAGGGAAGGGAAAGCAGCAGAGGGGCACAAGGGGAGGGCAGGTGAAGTGGAGTATGGAGGAGGAAGAAGAGGAGGAGGATCAGGAGGGGGGAGGAGGAGGTTCAGGTGGAGAGGGGTTGGAGCTGGTGACAGGGCCGAACGGCACGCGAGAGGCCACCATTCTGTACCTTGACTCGCTCCCTGATACCTCCAAGTCGCCTGCCATCTACAGCGCGATCAAGTTGTGAGTTTGATGTACATTAATATATATATATATGTATATATATGTATATATATGTATGTATAAGTACATACTATCTTCTGTGTTCTTGCTCCTGGTCTGCCTTTCCATCTGCCTTCCATCTGTGCATGCCTTCACCAGATGAGTGAGGGCGAGATCGTTTTTTCTTCTGTTTTATTTAATTCGATCCTTGTGTACACGAAGGAGGTGATGGTTCGTACATCTGTTTTGTCCGCTTCTTCATATACCATCTCTCCCTTCCCCTGCATCTCCTTCATTCCCCGTCCCTCCCCAGCTATCTGCAGGCAGAGTGGATGAAGAGGAGCAAGGAGCCGTTGGATCCCAAGAAACCGCTGCAATCTGGGCCGTTCAGCAAAGTGCGGGGGAAGAAAGTCAAGGTGGGTTTTCTGCACTCAATCGTTGCCTCGGAGAATTCTCTGAAGCACTGGCGTGCGGTGCGGCCTGCTGCATCTGCTGCAGCAGGAGCATGCAAGTGCAACCATGCTGCTTCCCAGCAGCAGAGGCATGCGGCCACTGCTACTGCCCTCTTAGGTGCAAGCTGAACCTGCTGTGCTCCCCACCACCCCTACCACCCCTCTCACACCTTTTCCTGCCTGCTCCTACACCTCTCTCTCTGCGCCCCTTGCTGTTTTGAGACGTCTCAAAACACACTCGTCGCTCACCCAACGTGTTTGAGACGTCTCAAAACACTTCTTCAAACAGGGAGCAGGGCAGGCGGACAGTGTGGTGTTTTGAGACGTCCCAAAACACTTCTTCAAACGCCTGCTACGGCACCTCTCTCTCTGCGCCCCTTGCTGCGTCTCCGCAGGTGCCAGCACACGACAATGACTATGACTGTGGCTGCTTCATCCTCTGCTACATCCAGAAGTTCGCTCGGATGCGTGATCCCCCACGCACACTCTCCCCACTCTCCCCTCGCTCTGCTCTACTCCACTCTCCGTGCCTCTTTGCAGGTGCCAGCACAGGACAACGACTATGACTGTGGCTGTTTCATCCTCTGCTACATCCAGAAGTTCGCTCAGATGGCCGCTGCTCTCCCACGCTCGGCTGATGGCGTTGCAGACAAGGTGGGTAATGTTGTTCCTTGTTGGCTTGTTCCTTTTTTCCCCTGTTTTTTGCTGATGGCGTTGGGTCGTCTCGGATGGTGCTGCCTCACAACCACCCGCCCCTCTCCTCCCTTCTCCCCTTCCCTCCCCACCAGCTGTGCAACGACTGGTTTGAAGCGTGTGAAGCATCCTCTCTGCGCCGTCTTACCAGCTCTTCTCCATTGTGGCAGGCAGGCATGCTGCTGCCCCACCAACCGCCCTCCTTCCCTTCCCCACACCCCTTCCCTGCACCACCAGCTGTGCGGCGACTGGTTCCAACCAAGCGTGTGAAGCATCATCACTCCACACTTGTTTACAAGGTGCTTGCTTGCATTCCGTGCTCATTCTCTCTCTCTCCCTGCCACTCCCTGTCCTCCTCACTACTACCTCCCTGCACCACCAGCTGAGCAACGACTGGGTTGAAGCGTGTGAAGCATCCTCTCTGCGCCGGCGCCTCTTCTCCATTGTGGCTCTGCCCACATGCAACCTCCCCCCATATCCCTTTCCCTCCACCAAACCCCGCCACCTCCCGCCACCAGCTGAGCAACGACTGGTTTGAGGCTTGTGAGGCATCATCGCTGCGCCGACGCCTCTTCTCCATCGTGGCGGGCATGCTGCTGCCCCCAATAAACGTCCCTCCTCTTCCCCCGTGTCACCCCCTTCCCTGCACCACCAGCTGAGCAATGACTGGTTTGAGGCATGTGAAGCATTCTCTCTGCGCCGGCGCCTCTTCTCCATCGTGGCAGGCATGCTGCTGCCCCACCAACCCCCACCGCAACTGCTCTCACCCCCCTCTCAAACCCTCTCAACTCCTCCGGCCCAACCGATCTCCCCTCCCCAATCCGACTCTCTTCCTCAACCTATCTCCCTTCCTCCGCCTGCCCCCCCAGCCCTACTCACCGATCCACCTATACTAGCCTCCCCTCCCTCTGCTACTCCTCCTCCTGCTGCTCTTCCACCTGCTGTTGGCACCGCCACTGTTAGTGCGCTGAAAACCCACCACAGCTGCAGCAGCAGCTGAAGGAACAGCAACAGCAGCAGAAGCAGCAGCAGCAGCAGCAACAGCAGCAGCAGAAAGTACAGCAACAGCAGCAGGGAAAACAGCAGCAGCAGCAGCAACAGCAGCAGCAGAAAGTACAGCAACAGCAGCAGGGAAAACAGCAGCAGCAGCAGGCACGGGCATCAAGGCGAAGAGGGGCAGAGGCAGGCCACGCAAGCAAGTGGAGGAGGACACAGGCAGCCCTGCTGACGTCGATGCTGCAGTTGCAGCACTTGCCGCTGGTGCTGCTGATGCGGGTGCGACTGGTGTGGGCGCGACTGGTGTGGGTGCGACTGGTGTGGGCGCTACTGGTGTGGCCGCTACTGAATCCCCTCTTGGTGCTGCTGGTGTACCTACTGTTGTTGGTGATACAACCGAGGCTGACGCTGAGGCTGAGGCTGAGGCTGGGGCTGACGCTGAGGCTGAGACTGGGGTCCAGACTAGGACCAAGGCAGGAGCTGAGGCTGAGGTTCGGGTCGAGATGGGGGCTGGGGCGGGGGGCGCTGGTGCTGGGGGCGCTGGTGCTGGGGGCGCTGGTGCTGGGGGCGCTGGTGCTGGGGGCGCTGGCAGTGCAGCGGGGCTGGATGCTGCGTGCAGAGGGGATGTTGCTGCTCGCTTCGCAGGCAGTCTGGAGCGAGATGATTCTCGAGCCGATACGCAAGACGACACCCAAGGCGACACTCAAGGTGACACCCGATGCGGCCGCAGAGGGGGCGGTGTGTGAAGCGCTTGTTGTGTTTGGCAAGGAGCCCTGGTCCGCGTGGCCCTGGCGTGCTTCTGAGCTATCGACTTGCCATGACGCTCACCCTTTGTTGCACTGGCCTGCAACACCAGTGGCTTCTGATGGGCCTGCTGGTGGTGCTGCCGCTGGTGGTGGTGATGGTGTTTCTGATGGTTGTGTTATGGGGGCATCGGATGTGCAACAAAGGGCGTCGGAGGATGGTGTTGGGTTAGTGCCTGTTCTGGTTGCTATTGTTTGGCAGGACGAGACGAGTCAGTGGCCACCACATGAGATGAGCACTGGGGGAAAGGGTTTTGACAGGTGTAGAGAGAGGTGCTGATGGGTTGGCGGGCGAAGCGGTGGATGTGAAGGAGAGAAATGGAGTGGTGGGGGTTGATAGAGTGGGCGTGGAGGGGGAAGAAGTGGTGGGAAAGGAGGGAGAGGGAGAAGGGCCAGAAGGGGAAAGACAGCGAGGGGGGAAGAAGCGGAAGAGAGTGAAACGCAGTGCCGGTTGGGGTGGGAGAAAAAGAGTTCGGAGGGGTGTGAAGGGGCAAGATGGGGAGGGGAAGACGAAGCAGGCTGAGGGGGGGGAGAGGAGGAGGGAGGATGATGAGGAGGAGGGGAAAGAGGAGGATGGGGGGGAGAGGAGTAGAGATAGGGATAGGGAGGAAAGGAGGAGTGACGAGAGGGTTCGGGACGAGATGGACAGGGTGGAGAGGGGTAGGGATGGGAGGGGTAAATGGGTGCTGATAAGGCTTGCAGCATCAGAAGAGGTGATCCGAGTGGAAAAAGGAGGGGTAGATGAGGAGGGAGAGGTGGAGGTTGGTGGGATGGGGGATGAGCACCAGGAGGGGCTGATAGGGGCTGGGGAAGAGGGAGAGGAGGAGCGTGGAGTGGACGTAGAGAGAGGTGAGGAGGGAGGTGTGGAGGGAGGTGTGGAGGGAGGTGTGGAGGGAGGTGTGGAGGGAGGAGTAGGGGTGGTGGCGAGAGGCATTACAGCAGAAGAAATGGAGGCAGCGGCAGGAGCAGCAGTGGCAGCAGCGGCAGCGGCAGCTGCGGTAGCTTCTATGGGAGCGTTAGTGAGGCAGGCACGCTGCCGCTGCTGCCGCCGCTGCTGCCGCTGCTGCTGCTGCGGCTGCTGCTCCTTCTGCTGCTGCTGCCACTGGTGTGATGGAGGAGAAGCAGCAGGAACAGAAAGCAGCAGCAAAAACCAGAGGGGCAGGGACACTGCCACAGACTGGCATGGATATCGCTGTTGAGGAATCCAAGACTGAGACGTTTTCGAACCTTGAATCAGGCTCGGTCCCGGAGCAGCTGCTCAGCTTCGGCTCTGGCGAACCTGAGTTGGATCGGTTGGTCAGGTTTGGGTTCTCAAGAGCACCACAGGGGCAGCGGAGACGGCTGGCCGGGTTTGCTGAGCTGTTATGGTGGAATGGAGGGAGCAGTGGTGCTGAGGCGATGGAGGAAGGTAGAGTGGTTCTGTGCGGTGCGGAGGAGGGTGCGTGGCAGCAGTGGGTTGAAAGTTGGAAGGAGGGGAGAGGGGATGGGAGCAGCAGAGCGGGGGGGAGTGGACAAATGGGACGAGGGTAGGAGGAGAGGTGGGAAGAATAGAGGCAGGAGGATTAGAGGAAGGATGGATAGAGGCAGGAGAAATAGAGGCAGGAGGAATAGAGGCAGGAGAAATAGAGGCAGGAGGAATAGAGGCAGGAGGAATAGAGGCAGGAGAAATAGAGGCAGAAGGAATAGAGGCAGGAGGAGTAGAGACCAGAGTTGTTTGGGGAGGGTCTGAAAAGTTTGAGAGTATGACAATGGAAGGAGGAGAGGAGATAGCAACAAAGAAGCGGGGGGCGAAGGATGAACAGGAGGAGGATGATGGTGCGAAGAAAGAAGCGGAAGGAAGTAGTGCGGACAAGAGTAAAATGGAAGAGAGTGGCTTTGTGGGGGTGTGCGGAGAATCCGCTGGTTGGGAAAGGGAGGTTGAAATCAAAGCTGTGAAGGAGGAGGGCTGCAAAGGCAGGCTTGAGCATGTGCGTGGGGATGGGGATGAGAATGTGGATGGGAATGGGAATGTGGAAGAGCATATGGCTGGCTACGAGATTGGGTATGGTACCGGGCATGAGATTGGATGTGAGATAGGGTGTGGGATAGGGCATGAGTTTAGGAATATGGAGCAGGGGGGTGGGGCGGAAGAGGTGGAGAGGGAGGGGGAGGGGGAGGAGATGGCGAGGAGCAGGGAAGAGGTAGAGAGGAGCGGAGGGAGTGTAATGGATTGCAGACCTTTGGATGAGTGTGAGATGGAGGGGAGGGAGGGAGAAGAGGTGGAGAGAGAAGAGGTTGAGAAGCAAGAAGGGGAGTTGGAGAGAGAAGAGATGGAGACGCAAGAAGGGGAGGGGGAGGGGGAAGAGGTGGAGAGGCAAGAAGGGGAGGGGGAGGGAGAAGAGGTGGAGAAGCAAGAAGGGGAGGGGGAGGGAGAAGAGGTGGAGAAGCAAGAAGGGGAGGGGGAGGGAGAAGAGGTGGTGAAGCAAGACGGGGAGGGGGAGGGAGAAGAGGTGGTGACGCAAGAAGGGGAGGGGGGGGAGGGAGAAGAGGTGGTGAAGCAAGAAGGGGAGGGGGAGGGAGAAGAGGTGGTGAAGCAAGAAGGGGAGGGGGAGGGAGAAGAGGTGGTGAAGCAAGAAGGGGAGGGGGAGGGAGAAGAGGTGGTGAAGCAAGAAGGGGAGGGGGAGGGAGAAGAGGTGGTGACGCAAGAAGGGGAGGGGGAGGGAGAAGAGGTGGTGAAGCAAGAAGGGGAGGGGGAGGGAGAAGAGGTGGTGACGTCAGAGGGTGGCAGGACGCAAGAAGAGAAGCAAGACGAGGAGGCACGGGAAGAGAAGGATGAGAGAGGAGAAGTGATGGAAAATCAAGGGAGAGCTGCAGCTGGTAACAGGGAATGGACGAGTTGGGTGGACGAGATCAGTGAAGAGGGTGAGGAGGGAAAGGAGGTGATTGAAGGGGATGAGGAGGGCAAGGGGGTTAGTGAAAGGGGTGAGGAGGGCAAGGAGATGAACACAGAAGGTGAGGAGGAAATGGAGGTGAATGAAGGGGGTGAGGAGGAAAAGGAGTTGAATGAAGGGGGTGAGGAGGAAAAGGAGTTGAATGAAGGGGGTGAGGAGGAAAAGGAGTTGAATGAAAGGGGTGAGGAGGAAAAGGAGTTGAATGAAGGGGGGTGAGGAGGAAAAGGAGGCGAGTATAGAGGGTGAGGAGGTGAATGAAGGGGGTGGGGAGGGCACTATTGAGAATAAAGGGGGTGAGAAGGCGGAAGAACTGATCATGGTAGATATAACGGGTGAGGAGGAGAATGGAGGAGAGGAACAGGGAGGTAAAGACAATGCTGGTAGCGGGGAAGGGAGAGAGGACGACTGGGGAGGGAGAGTGGAGGAGGAAAAAGAAGGTGAGGGGGGAGAAGGGGAGGACGTGCATGTAGCGAGTTTTGAGTCAACTCACAACTCGTCCCGTGAAGTGGAGAAGGAGGAAAATGGTGGGGGGAGAAGAATTGGAGGAAGAAGAAGGTGAGGGGGGAGAAGGAGAGGACGTGGATGTAGTGGGTGAAGCAGAGGGGGAAGCAGTGGGGAAAGGGAGAGAGGTTGAGGGGAGAACAGAATTGGGGGAAGAAGAAGGTGAGGGGGGGAGAAGGGGAGGACGTGCATGTAGTGGGTGAAGCAGAGGGTGAAGCAGTGGGGGGAGCAGTGGAGGAAGCAGTGGAGGAGGAATATGGTGATGGGGGAGAAGGAGAGGGCGTGCATGTAGTGGGTGAAGCAGAGGGCGAATCAAAGGGGGAATTTGAGGGGGAAGCATTAGAGGAAGCAGTGGAGGAAGCAGTGAAGGAAGAAGGTGGTCAGGGGGGAGAAGGAGAGGGCGTGCATGTGGTGAGCGAACCAGAGGGGGAAGCAGTGGAGGAAGGGAGAGAGGTTGAGGGGGGAGCAGAATTGGAGGAAGAAGAAGGTGAGGGGGAAGAAGGGGAGGACGTGCATCTGGTGGGTGAAGCAGAGGGGGAAGCAGTGGGGGAAGCAGTGGAGGAAGCAGTGGAGGAAGAAGAAGGTGAGGGGGGAGAAGGAGAGGGCATGCACGTTGTGAGCGAACCAGAGGGCGAACCGAAGGGGGGAGCAGTGGAGGAAGCAGTGGAGGAATCAAAGGGGGAAGCAGTGGAGGAAGCAGTGGGGGAAGCAGGGGAGGAAGCAGTGGGAAGGAAGAGAAGGCGGCTCGATCAGAGTGCTGGTATTAATTTTGATAGTGCCGGTTCACCAGTCAAACCTGGCGCTGCTGTTTATGGTTCGGAAACTAGTCCTGATGACCATGCGCGTCATGACGGTAGGCTTGGTAGGAATAGGCATGGTGCGAATAGGCTCGGTGAGGATAGGCTCGGTGAGGATAGAGCTGGCAGCAGCAGCCACGGTGTTACCAGCAGCAGGCCTGTGCGAAAGGCTAGCCTCGGCAGGTTCGGGTTTGGCCGAACCAGACTGGAAGAGGGGCTCAGGTTCGGCGAGGAAATGTCGCCGGTGCTGGTGCTTCACAGGCTCGGTAGCCATCCCAAGGCCCCCCGAAGCAAGCGTCCTCGGAAGTTCAGGTTCGGAAACGACCCGCAACAAACATGCAAGGATCCAGGTTCGGTTCGAAGGCCTGGCAGAGGTTCGGGGGGTCGCAAGAGGAAGCGAAAGAATAGTGCTGGAGAAACCACCACAGGCTGTCGTGGGAAAACTGCTGCTGACAGTAAAGGGGAGGCTTGTAACGAGACTGAATTAGGAAGAGGGTTGGATGAAGGAGTTCTGGCTCATGCAGCAGGGAGAATGGAAAGGGGAGAGGCAGCAGGGAGAAAGGAGCAGGGGGGGGCAGCAGGGATAGGGGAAGAGGGAGAACCCAGAGATGGTGAGAGAGCGAGTGTTGAAGAGAAGGAAGCAGATGTTGTTCGAACCGCGTGTGTCAATAACCCTTTGACTTGCAGTCTTTCTCCTGCCTTGGCCTTACAAGACCGCTCTCCCCTTCCTCTGCCCCTGTTGGTCCCTCCTTCCCGCCCTCTGCCTCTGTCTGCCTCTTCTCCCCGTCCTCGCCTCCTGGTGCTTCCGTCACTCGTTCCTCTGCCGCCTCTTCACCGTCTTCCCCGCCCCACTGCTTCTGCTGCTGCTGCTCCTGCTCCCCCTGCTGCTGCTGCTGCTGCTGCTGCTGCTGCTCCTGCTCCTGCTCCTCCTGCTGCTCCTGCTCCTACTTCTGCTGCTCCAACTGATGTTGCTACTCCTGCCGCTCCCTTACCACTGTCCCCTTCACCCCTCCACCCTCCTCCATCACCCCACCTCCCTCCATCGCCCTCCCCTACTGACCCACTCTCTCCTCCTCCTGCTCCTCCTCCTGTGCCCACTCCAGTAGCCGCTGCTCTTACGGAAAGTCACATTGTGACTGAAGAAGGGGTGACAGAAGTGAAGGCCGAGACCCCTTCTGTGACTGCAAACTCTGAACCCGTCGCCGTGACTGTAAAGGATGAGAAGGACGAGCCTGCTGCTGTGACTGTAAAGGATGAGCTTTCCGAGCCTGCTACTGTGGCTGCGGTCCTTGAACCCTCCGCTGTGACTGTAAAGAATGAGAATTCCGAGCCTGCCGCTGTGACTGCAGGCTGTGACCCCACTGATGTGACTGTAGAGGGTGAAAAGGATGAGCCGCCTGCTGTGACTGTACAGAGTGTGACTGTGACTATACAGAGTGTGATGGATGAGGCCGATGAGAAGGATGGAAGGGATGAGAAGGACCAGCTGCCTGTGATGACTGCAGGCGTTGAACCGGCCACTGTGACTGTAAGGGATGAGCTGCCTGCTGTGACTGAAAAGGATGAGCCAGCTGCCGTGACTGTAGAGAGTGTGATGGATGAGGCCAATGAGAGGGATGAGCCGCTTGCTGTGACTGCAGCCCTTGAACCGTCCACTGTGACTGTAAGGGATGTGAAGGACGAGCCTGCTGCTGTGACTGTAAGGGATGGAAAGGACAAGCCTGCTGCAGTGACTGTAAGGGATGAGACGGATGAGCCTCCTGCAGTGACTGCAAGCTCTGAACCTGCCTCTGTGACTGTACGGGAAGCGACGGAGGGTCTGCCTGCTGTGACTGAAACGGATGTGCCACCTGATGTGACTGTAGAGGATGTGAAGGCTGAGACCATTGAGAAAGGCGAGCCTCCCGCTGTGTTTGCGAACTGTGACCGCACTGCTGTGACTGTAGAGGGTGAAAAGGATGAGGCAGCTGCTGTGACTGTAGAGGGTGAAAAGGATGAGGCCTATGAGAAGGATGAGAAGGATGCGAAGGATGAGAAGGATGCGAAGGATGAGCCACCTGCTGTGACAGATGAGCGTCCTGCTGTGACTGTAAAGGGTGAACCTCCTGCACTGTCTCTAAAGTTTGCACCCTCCCCTGTGGTTGTAAAGGACGAAGCTGCTGCTGACGCCGATAACACAGCTCCACTACCTGCCGCGCGTTGCCGGCCACTTGCCGGGCGGCGCACTGTGGCCCATGGGGTCATTGTCAGACCGGGCGGCTCAGCAACCCAGAAGGAGCATCGCAGCACTCTTTTGAGTCGACTCAAAAGTCAACGCACCGTGGCACATGGGGTCATAATCAGACCGGGCGGTTCAGCAACCCAGAAGGAGCATCGGAACATGCTAACCACCGTGGCCCATGGGCTCATAATCAAATCGGGTGGCTCTGCAACCCAGAAGGAGCATCGCAGCACTCTAACCACCGTGCAACCGGGCAGCACACTGTGGCCCATGGCCCCCTTTGGAGTTTCCTCACCTGCCGAACCTCCCAGGCTGCTTGGGCTTCCCATGGGGGCACTGGAGGTTCGGAAGGACGAGGGTCGGAAAGGCGAGGGTCGGAAGGATGAGGTTCGGAAGGATGAGGATCGGAAGGATGACTCACCTGGGCCTTATGATGCCCTGCGGCAACAGCAGACTGTACCCCCTGTGCTGCTGGCTGCTACCAGGGCTGCACAAGTCCCTGATGTTTCACCTGAGTCTCTGTTGCAACCTGGTGATTCACCTGAGGATCAGATGCGACCTGAAGAGCAACTAGGTCGTCAGGAGGTTTCAGCAGAAGCAGCAGCTGAGGGAAGGGCTGATGGTGTGGCAGAAGGGGGTCCTGCCACATCAGCAGCACCTGATTCGATCACACCTGCCACGTCAGCGGAGCCCGACAAACCGTCCACGTCAGCAGAGCTTGGCATGCTATCCACGTCAGCAGCCCCAGTCACAGCTGACATGCCAGCAGAGCTGGTTGCTGCGTGCCTGGGAGCCAATCGCGTGCTTCGATCGCGGAAGCAGCAGCAGCAGCAGCAGCAGGAGGAGGAGGAGGAGAAGCAGCAGCAAAGGCGCCTGGAGTAGTGAAGTCAGAAGGAGGACGGAAGGCAGGAAGAGACGTATTGAAGACGCCCCCACGACACAGTGTGAAAGCATCACCACAAGGAGTGACACGGTCACATGCAGTGAAGGGGAACCAAGGCAATTCTAGGTCACCAGCCCAAGCTAGATCACAAGGGCGTAAGGGAATGCAAGGTTTGAGGAAGGGGGGAGGGGGAACAGGAGAGAAGAGTAGGTCGGGGAAGAGAAAGGCTGGGAAGGCTAGGGGGAGAGGGAGGAGTGGGAGAGGAGGAGGAGGAGGAGGAGGAGGATGAGGAGGAGGATGAGGAGGAGGATGAGGAGGAGGAAGATAGTGAGCAAGAGAGTGCGGAGGAAGGTGGAAGGGACGAAGCAGAGGAGGAGCTCAAGGGAAGAAGGGCCAAAGGGTTGGCAAAGGTGGTGGGTAGAGGGAAGGAGAAGGAAGTGGAGGGAAAGGAGAAACGGGTAAGGAGAGGGGGTGGTGGTAGCAAGGAGACACGTGATTGGGAAGAGGAGACGGATAATGAGAGCAGCGAAAGGAGACGAGGTAACAAAGAGGTTGCGGCAGAGAAGGGATTGAGAGACGAGGGATTGGTGGGGCCGGAGTATTTGTGGAAAGAGGGAGGAGGGAAACAGTACAGAAGGAGAAAGCACGGGCGGAGGTGAGTGCAGGGGGACTTGAAAAGGCGGTTCAGCTTCAAGGAGTGTAGCGAGTGAGCAAACACAAGCTTTAAGAAAGGGCGACAGAGGATGGAGGGAGGGGCTGCAGAGACGGAGCAAGTGAGGGGCTTTCCTTGCAGAAACGAGCCATGCAACCTTTATATGCAATGCAACGTAAGGGTGCACAAATGGAGATGTAGGGGAGCGGTGCATCCACCAGCTGATTCGCTGTGGTGCGCTGGATTGGACTGGAAGGTGGTATTTCTGCAGTCAGCCATCATTTCTGAGACTTTATGCAGTGCAGCTGCTCCTGTACTGTCATACTGCATGGCTTTGGTGCTGTTATGGCGTATTCCTACGGCCTCCTATCAAGCCACCTCCTATCAAGATTGTACCTTCTGCGTGGTAAAAGTAGCGAGAGGTTTAAGGTTTAGGGGATTCTTCAGTGTGAGCTTGATAGGTCAGATTGATAAGAGGATAGGAATACGCCCTTAGGTGCTGCATCAGAATTGCTTCTACAGTGTATTGAGAACATATTGTTGCCCTCCTGACCTGATATAAAGCAGCCAGTACCACAGCATCTTGAAAAGAAGATAGCGGCACAAACAACTCATCCAGCATCTGTGTGACTGGATGTTTGTGCTAAAGAACCGGATAGTACCTTCGGCCCCAGGGGTATCGGATCGGAGATAAGGCATGGAGCATTGGTGCCTCAAAGTGCAGCATCATTTGACCCTAGACGGCTCTACCACAGGAGAGGAGATTCTGTGGTTGGAGCCAATGTTTCTGCTTCCGAGGTACCATGTGTCATGAATCAAACCCACTGCTTTATGAAATGCGATACATATACATATCAGTTGTTGTGTCTTCAGAGGCTATGGGCCTGCAATGCAAGCTCAATGTGCGTCAGCCAGCCCAACATGGTTCAATCGGCTCCATGTGGGCCTCACAACCTGCATTGAACAAAAGGCAGGGTGAGGCGCGGTGAACAAGGATTATGCACGGTGATACAGGGTGACACAGGTTGTATGCAGGGTGCTACACGGTAGTGCAGGGTGCTGCAGTGCGATAAACGGAGGGCGATCATCAGGATACGCTGTGCCTATATGAAGCTGTAGATGTCAGGAAAAAATCTCTCTGGCAGTTGTTACCAATCTCGTGTTACCTACTCGTTACTAACCGGTGTCATACGCGTTACTGGCTGGCGGTGACGGTGAGCTCATTACTAACCGGTGTCATACGCGTTACTGGCTGGCGATGACGGTGAGCTCGCCCTTGTCCAGCGCGTTGTACAGCTCCTCCGTCTTGCGCTTCTCGTTGATGTGATTCATCTTCCACAGGGACGCGCCTGCCACGCAGCAATGTAATCGCACGGGTATTACATAAATATGGCACTTAGGTGCCTCAAAAAAAGCTTCGGGTTGATGTGACCCATCTTTTACAGGGACGCGCCTGCCACGCACTGAGTGTCATATTAGGAGCATATAATAAGGAGCGTTACTTAAATATGTTCCGCAGGAGCCTCATGCGTAGCTTTGCATCTATGTGGCTCATCTTTGACGACGGTCCGCCTGCTACACAGCAATGCCATGTCATGAGCATTACGAAAGTATGCTCTTAAGGCGTGTCGTGTATGGCTGCGCGATCATAAGACCATATCTTTCACAGCGACCCCCCAGACGCAGCGAATGACATCTTACACCACTACCGAAGCACTTCACGAAAACTGCTGGCGAATGTCGCAAGAGTCGCGATATTTACCTTACGAGCATTACACGATGAAAGATTGAGAAATTCTACGGATTGGGAACGAGACCGCTGAGATCCGTAAGGAGTGTCAGGATGTATGGTTGGAAGCTGTCGTGAAAAGAAAGAGCTTGCTTGGTACAGGGACGGCGCCGAGGAGACAGAAAGGATGAATACGCGACGCTACTGAAAAGGGTAATAAGCGGCGCTGATGGACGGACCTCCGACGCCGAGGGTGAGGCCAGCAGCGATTTCGAAAATGACGCTCGGGCCGCCCTTCTTGGCGACAGCCACACCATGAGCCGCGATCTTGTGAGCAGCACCCATGTCGGCGAGGAACGCGGCGAAATATGGAGCGGAGAAAGGCGGATCGGACGTGAAAGGTGGCGGGATTCGCGGCGATCGTGGCGGAAAGAAACGGCGATGGAGCTGGGTGTGGTGTAGGTGGGAGCTGAACTTTGCGTTGTGACAATGGCGGGGGGCTGGGTGTGCTAAAAAGAGCAGGGTCGGACTTCCCAAGCCGAAGAGTTCCCCTCGCATGGGGTTCCCTAGGCGAGAGAGGTTTCCCTGGCGTGGAGTTCTCGGGGCGAGAGTTCCCCAGGCGAAGAGTTCCCCTAGCCTGGAGTTTTCTAGGCGAGGTTTTCCCAGACGATGAGCTTCCCTCCCTCCCCCCGTGGCTCCACCTTCCGCAGCAGCACGCATGGGGTAGAAAGTATTCCACCAAAAATCTGTTTTGGTCTTACGCGATACAAAACGGTTTATGTACAGTTAGTTCCGGTTCAGCAAGTTAAGAACTTCACCCAATAGCAAACTGGGAGGGTTGTGCGTGCGGGCGGGGGCTGGCGGAAGTACAGCATAAGGCACCACCAGTGGTTGGATCCAGGTTGTGCGGGGAGGGGAGGGGGGCTCAATGTATTCGCGTTATCGTTTATGTAGGTACACGTGTAGTATAAATGGCAAAACACAACAACAGGTGGAAAAATTGCCCTATCAATATACATTCACCACTCCCATCAAAGCTCTACTATATGGAGCTGGTAGTCTAGTGTCATTTTGACCAGTGTTACGAGTGCAATTGAGTGAGCGAACGAAGATTGCACTATCGAAGCAAGAGTACAATGAGCGAAGGCATGAGCGAAGATTATATAGCGAAACTACAGTGGTAACGGTAATGTGTGAAAATGGGGTGCGCGACGGGCCTAGCGCCGAGGTTGGGAATTGTCGAGGCGGAGGTCCGGAGCGCGGGTTACCAACCGAGCCGTGAGGTTGGGTCGCGTCGTGAACAGTGGCGGGAACAGTACCGAGGCGAGTGTCGCGAGTGGTAACGGATTACTGTTGGGTGCTGTTGGCGGGAACAGTGCTGTACGCGCTGAGCAGGGACGCGAAGTAAGGAAAAGGAATTTTCCTTACACTACCCCCCCCCCCTAAGGAGGCCCTCCTTTACGAGAGCGCGTGTACATCCCGGAAATTGCGGCTTCGCAGGTACTCGGTGAGGACAGGGTGATTCTCAATTCTGTCCAGGGGAACCCAGTTGTCCTCCGTGGGCGTGCGATCTTTCCAGCGGATCAGAAATTCTATTCTGCGGGCTCCCCGTGGGTCACGTACTCGATGGCTTAGGATTTTTTCAGGCGTGATGATCGGCTCTGTTGGTGGTCGTGTCATGCTGGCGGGGCGGTTGCGAGGCAGTTGGCTGGTGGATGGCACGTATGGGCGGAGCAGGCTGACGTGGAACGAAGGGCTGACGTACCAGTCAGCAGGGAGGAGGAGGTGGGCGGTGACAGGTGTGATCATGTGGCTGATGCGAAATGGCCCACAATATCGGGGGCGGAGTTTTGGGGTGATGGGTAGGCGGAGGTTGTGGGTGTCGAGTAATACCAAGTCGTCGGGCTGGTAAGTGACGGGGCGGCGGTGTCGGTCGGCGTTACGCTTAGCGATGACGTTTGATTTTTTTATGGCTTCTGCTGCTCGGGTCCGGGCTTCCTGTAGTATTTCGGTGAACTGTTGTGCTCGTGGGACGGGGTTGTCGGGATTCGGGGTCATGGGTACTGTGGGGTCTTGTCCGTAGTTCAGGTAAAAGGGTGACTGCTGGGTGGTGGCGGATGGCGAATTATTGTAGGCAAATTCGATGAGTGGCAGCTGCTGTTCTCAGGTGGTGGGGTCGTCGCACGTGGCTCGGATGAGTTGTTCCATGGTTTGATTTGTCCGTTCCGTTTGTCCGTCAGTTTCGGGGTGGTATGATGAGCTGAACTGTAGTCGCGTGCCAAACTGCTGCCACAGGTTTCGCCAGAAGTTGCTGGTGAATTTCGTGTCGCGGTCGCTGATGATTGCTGCTGGTATCCCGTGCAGTCGTACGACGGTGGCGATGAAGAGGCGGGCTGTTTCTTCGGCTGTGATCGATTTCTTGCAGGCTGCGAAGTGCGCCATTTTCGTCAGTCGATCGACGACGACCATGATCGCGTCGTTCCCACTCGCTCCGGCCGGTAACCCCGTGACGAAGTCCATCGTCACCTGCTGCCACGCACGCTCTGGGGGTGGTATCGGCTGCAACTGTCCTGCCGGCCGCTTCCGTGATGACTTCATGAGCTGGCAAGTGGGACACGATGCCACGTGTCGCTGTACGTCGGTCAACATTTCGGGCCAGTAATAATACCGCTGCAGCTGCTGCCGTGTTTTTTCTACCCCAAAATGTCCCGAGGTAACTCCGTCGTGTGCCTCCTGTAACAGTAATTCCCGTAGCAGAGTGTACCCTGGTACCCAAATGCGGTCGGTTCTAGTTTTTACGTAATAGACTCCTCGTGCTGTTGCGAACTGCTGCGAATTTCCTCCTGTGAAGAAAGGGTCCATTTGATAACCGTGGGTAAATAGTCCTGTTAACAGTGGGCTGGTCAGGGCGAGTAAGATAGCGTGGATGTGGGCGGTGGGGCGGGTCAGTGCGTCAGCTATGTTGGATGCTCCCTTTTTGTAGGTGACCGTGTAGTGAAAATTGGACTCGAGGAAATCGAGCCATCGGATCTGTCGTGGGTTGAGGTGGGGCTGTGCGCGGAGGTACTGTAGTGATTTGTGATCTGTCCGTACTGTCACGTCTGCGCCGGTCAGATAACAGCGCCACACTTTGAACGCGTGCACGATCGCGAGCATTTCGCGGTCGTGTATCGGGTAGTTTTTCTCGGGCGGATGCAGTTTTCGTGACTCGTATGCGATGGGCTGTAGGCCGTTGCCGAAATCCTGTAGCAGTACTGCTCCAATGGCGATGTCGCTCGCGTCTGTAACTACTTCGAATGGGCGGTGTGGGTCGGCAATGCGCAGGACGGGCGGTGAACAGAGAACAGTTTTCAGGGCAGAGAAGGCAGCTTGCTCTTTCTCCCCCCACGTAAAAACGACCCCCTTCCGCAGCAAATCCGTCAGTGGGGCTGTTAAGCGGGCCATGTCGGGGACGAACCGACGGACGTAATTAACAAACCCCAAAAAACTCTGCAGCTCGGTGATGTTGGTCGGGGGGTGCCATGCCTTGACCGTATCCAGCTTCCGTGGGTCAATCTCAACCCCAGCCTCCGAAATGACGTGCCCCAGAAACTCTAACCTATCCCGAAAGAATTCGCACTTAGACCCCTTGGTCAGTAACCTATGCTCCTCTAAAATCTTAAACACTGCTTCGAGGTCCGCTAAATGCTGCTGCTTATCGCGACTGTAGACGAGGATGTCGTCGAGGTAGACTATCACGCACTTATCTAAAAGCGGCCTAAACGCCTCGTTCATGGTCATTTGAAATGTCGCAGGTGCGTTGGTCAGCCCGAAGGGCATTACGGTGTACTCGAACGACCCGTATCTAGTCCTAAAAGCTGTCTTGGCACAGTCCGATGGTTCGACCCGAATCTGGTGGTACCCTCCCCGTAGGTCTGTTTTCGAAAAAACCCGTGCTGTTCGCAGTTGGTCGATCAGTTCGTCGGCGCGGGGGATGGGATATCGCGAATTTACTGTAACCCTGTTGAGCGCTCGGTAATCGATGCACATGCGAAACCCTCCGTCTTTTTTCGGTGTGAACAGTATCGGTGCGGCGAACGGTGACGAACTCGGTCGGATAAACTGCTTCTCTAACAGGTAATCTAACTGCTTCCTCAGTTCGTCGAGTTCCGGTTGCGTCAGTCTGAACTGGCGCTGTACGGTTGGCTGTGCCCCCGGCTCTAGTTCTATCCTATGATCGTGCGCCCGCTGAGGTGGCAGTCCCGCTGGTAAGTCGTCGGGAAATATCCCCGGGTACCGTTTCAACAGCTCCTGTAGTTCGGGCGGTACCGCTGCCAACAGCTTCTGAAAATCGCTCGGTTGCTCGGCTTCTCCCACTACTGCGATGTCCACTGCGTACACGTCAGCTCCAGCGGCGACTGCCCGTTTCATGGTGATGGCGTTGACGTGGACCGTTGAAGACTCAGGCGACTGCCAGCGTGGTAGTTCGACCCAGTTACCACTACTTCGCACAGTGCAGCTGCCTGTCGTCCAGTCGATTCGCGGGTTATACCGTCGCAGCCAATCACGTCCCAGTAAAATATCGTGCCCATCCAGTGTCGTCGCGAGCATTTCCTGTGTAAACCCGAAGTTCCCCCCGCAGCGAACTTTTACCCTCTCCACCTTTTCCCGTATGGCCAGCGGCGTGCCGTCGACTAAGCGTGCGTCTATCTCAGGTAAGCACCGGCTGCAGTTTCCGTGCGGTTGCAGTATTAACTAAGCTATGGCTTGCTCCTCCGTCGATAAAAATCTTCACTGCTGCTCCCTGTATTTTCCCGTAGATCAGTATTGGGCATTCCGTCGTTGTACCCTCCTTATTCATCCGAGCCCGATCGATGGCGTGAATCGGTACTGTGACTCGGTGAGGGTCGGTGCGGTTGGGCGAGCAGGCAGTCTCGTCAGTAGTTGGCCCAATTTCTACTGACTGCTGGCGTTTCCCTGTCTCTGAGACTCCCTCCCCTGCTCTGCTCCGCGGCGCCTCAGCTCCTCTGGGCACTCACTCTTGCGATGGCCCGGCCTGTTGCAAGCAAAGCAGCGCCCCTTAAACGGCGCGGCAGCTGCATTCGTCGCAACGGCGTGTACGGTGGCGTGCTCGATCGATCCCCGAGGACGATGTCCGTAGTAGGACCCCGGTCTCGGTCGGCGCAAAATGTCGATTTTCTCGGCGAGCGCGAGAATCTCGTTGAAGTTCGAGAGCCCGCGTAGCATGATTTCCTGCGAGATTTCCGGCTTCAGCCCTCCGACGTAACGGTCCACCCGCTCCGCTTCGTGCATGTAGCCGACCTGCTCGCATAATGCGAGAAAACCGCTCGTATAGTCTTGGACCGATCCGAGCTGCCGCCAAGTGCGCAGTTTCTGACGCGCCGAAATAGAAGCCGCGATCGGCTCGAAGCGCGCCCGAAGCCCTACGCACCACGCATCCCACGTGCTGTACTGGGCGGTTTCGCAGAACGAACTCCAGGTGACTGCTGGACCCGCGGGCCCTTCCTCTTGCGACGGTGGCTCGTAGGCGCGTGGCGACGTCACGATGACTCGCCACCAGTCCATAGCGGGGCCCCTCAGCAGCGAAACGGCGTATCGGATCTTCGCTGCGTCCGACTCGACGTAATTCGCGTCGAAGAAGACGTTCATCGTGAAGATCCACGATTGAACCGTCGGACCCCCACGCTGGCTCGGGTCGAAACAGGGCGGACGCTGCGGCTTGAGTGGCATTGGCGCCATGATTGCCTGATCGGCGCTTGTTGCCGCAAACTCCACGTGCCGACGGGCTTCGCGAGGCTCCTGAGAGCTTGGTTTCTCCCCATGCCAGGCATTGGTTGGGCGGCGCTATCACTGGCTGCTCCTGAGCGCTGTCCCACGCTGTCGTGCTGTGTTGGTGTGCCAGACGAAATGACGATCGGCTCCTCCGACGGTGCAGGTGCATTTTGAGGTGCTGGGTTGCTCGCCGTGGCTTGCTGACGCGCGGAGTCGCGTTCCGCCGTGAGCGTCGCGATTTCGAGCGCCGATTCTTCAACTTGGCGCACCAGGCGGTCGAGCTGCTCCTGCGTCAGAGTCGCGAGATTGAATTCGGCCATGGCGGGGGTGTCGGGCGAGCTCAGCGAGAGCCTCTGTCGTGGCCGTGCGTGCTTACGAGAGAGCACTACGAGCGGCGGTGCTGTGTCGCTGAGAGACGTCTACCCCCCCCAAAAATTGAGATAGTGGGGAAGCGAAGGTGTGGATGCGGTCCGAGAAGAGATCGTAGGCTCTGAATACCAAGTGTTACGAGTGCAATTGAGTGAGCGAACGAAGATTGCACTATCGAAGCAAGAGTACAATGAGCGAAGGCATGAGCGAAGATTATATAGCGAAACTACAGTGGTAACGGTAATGTGTGAAAATGGGGTGCGCGACGGGCCTAGCGCCGAGGTTGGGAATTGTCGAGGCGGAGGTCCGGAGCGCGGGTTACCAACCGAGCCGTGAGGTTGGGTCGCGTCGTGAACAGTGGCGGGAACAGTACCGAGGCGAGTGTCGCGAGTGGTAACGGATTACTGTTGGGTGCTGTTGGCGGGAACAGTGCTGTACGCGCTGAGCAGGGACGCGAAGTAAGGAAAAGGAATTTTCCTTGCAACCAGCAACGGTATGAGTTGCTTGTACAAAACGAAAAATAAGATGCAAAAAAACGAATAGGTTGGTGATTATAGGGATGGCGCCTACGCTGATCCTTTTGGAGTGGCGTCACGAGAGGCCACTTTGCTCCTGGATCTAGCAGAATCTCATGAAATTACTTTTGCGTAGTGCTTCCGCATGTGCCCCCCTAGAGCCTGGCCCGTAGGGAATGCCCTGTCGCACCTGCTGCACTTGAACTTTTTCTCACTCCCTCCAACCCCTTGCCAAACCCTATCCATCCCTTGGCTTTCACTCCAGGGAGCAAGCAGGCCACTATCATCAGGCCTGCTCAAAGAAAATGGTCTGTCTCCAAGCAATTCTGCCACTTTCTGAGCGACTGGGCTGACAATCCCTGGCTGTGGGTATTCATGCTGCTCTGGAAGCTTGTCAAGTGAATTCCCAACACTTGGCATCCTGGCCATGGAGACATCTGCAGCAATGCCTGTAGTGATCCCTGCTGGGGCATCAGCACTGGCATCAGCAGCAGCAAGAGCTGCAATCTGAGTGGCCAGTTCGTGACCACAGGCAGGAGCGAGGCGACTCCACCTCCTTCCCATGCCAAGATCTGAACAACGCTCTGTGGAGAACCTTGCACCTTGCTGAGCTGGCAGTGCCACGTCAGCAGCAGCAGCAGACGCCATGGATTCAGCCAAGGGGTTGAAAGCGTTCCGGGAGTGCGGTGGGGTGTGAGGTGAGGGAAGGAGCGAGTCGTCCCCTTGGCCACCCCACGTCTTAGACCTCTTTCTGCTGTCGAAACGAGCCCCGTCTGCTGCAGAGGCAGCAGCCACAGCAGCAGTGGAAGCCACAGCAGCCGCACCAGCTGTCGCAGCAGCAGTCGCAGCAGCAGGATGGGCAGTAGCAGCAGCAGCAGTATGGAACGATGCCCACGAGCGGGAGCGCACCTGAGGGAATAGAGAGGCACTCAGCGAGTCACACCCACCATACAGCCTGGAATTCGTTCCCCAGGCTCGGGAATCTGCTCCCCAGGCTTGGGAATCCGCTCCCCAGGCTCGGGAATCTACTCCCCAGGCTCGGGAATCTGCTCCCCAGGCTCGGGAATCTACTCCCCAGGCTCGGGAATCTACCCCCCAGGCTCGCGAATCTGCCCCCCAGGCTCGCGAATCTGCCCCCCAGGCTCGGGAATCTGCTCCCCAGGCTCGAGATTCCACCACCCGGCCCTTGCTGCTTGCACCCTGCTCCTCCTCCATCTGTTTCTGCCACAGGCGAATCTCAGACAGCAGATCCCTCCCCACTCCAGTCCGCTGCAACGGTTCCTGAGTCGCCTCAGAAGTCTCTGTTAGAAGGCTTCTTCCCACAGTGACTTGCTGCTGTGGTGGCGGCATCGCGCCTACTCCCTTACGTGAGATGCTGAGGTGTTGCTGGGAGTGCGGCTCTTGTAGATCGTCCTGCGTCCTGCATGAGCCAGCAACATGCTGTTGACCAAGTTGACCAGGCTGGCTATCACCTTGACCGAACGGGCTTGGCTGATCCGCTTGGTCGGGCAACAAACGCCCAAAAACTGTTGACCGCTGTTGACCAAGGTCAAGCTGACACCGCGTGTCCTCTCCAACAAAACCAGGCGCATTCAGGTCCAGCCCTCTCTCCCCAACCCCTCTTTCCGCACCCTCTCTCTCCCGAACCCCTCCCTCCGCAGCCCCTCTCTCCCCACCCGTCTCCTCAGCAGGGTCGTCGTTCAGGTCCAGGAGCTCACGCCGCGCTGACTTGGCCCCAACCTTCCCACTCCACCCACTCCTTCCACTCCACCCGTTCCCCCAGCTCCTTCCACCCATCCCACTCACGCCACTGCTCCCCCTCCTCCCCATCGCCCCACGGGTTCCCCTCTCAGGCGCCGCCTTCCAGCCCCAATCTAGGGCGAGTTCCCCCGGCGATACTTCATCTTTGCCCGAGCCTTCAGCCGCCCAAGCCACCCCAGCCGCCCCAGCCACCCCTGCCGCCCCAGGAGCCACCCAAGTTGGCCCAGCTGGTACAATTAGGTGCCCAGCCGCCTGCTTGGGATGAGCTGACCCAGCTCTGTAGGTCTCTCCGCAGGCAGCAGAGGCAGCAGCAGCAGCAGCAGCAGCAGCAGCAGGAGCAGCAGCAGCAGCAACAGCACCAGCAGCAGTAGCAGCAGCAGCAGCATAAGCAGCAGCAGCGCTGCCGCCACCATTAGCAGAGATGGTGGAGATCCCAAGGGACGCTCGCGCCTGTGCTGCCGTGGAAAAGAGGCTGCTAGTCCACCCCACACCCACGCTCTGATGGACAGCCGCCCCTGGAAGCGGAGATGGGGGCAATGCGCGGAGCAGGTGGTTCTGAGCAGCAGAGGAGGGTCCTTCACCGGCAAAGGAGGGTCCCTCCCAGGGGGAGGAGTGTGCGAGCTGGGCGGCAGAGCTGGTGAACAGTCCACTGCCCGTGGTCGACAGGGTGGCGGCGGGCGGCAGCATTGCGCCAAACGTTTTCCTTGGCTGCCCGCCGAAATCGCCGGCGAAATCAACAGCGTGGGGAATTGAAATCGCCAACCCTGCATCATCCGCATCAGCGACAACAGCGGCGGCAACAGAGTGTTGACCTGTGGGGTACGGACCGTCAGCATGTGAAGGTTGCGGCTCGCGATTCCCAAAGGCCACGACACGCGGCACACTCAAAATTCGCTCCACTTGGGAGTATGCCGTCGCGGGTGCGACGACGACGACTCGCCGACTCTTGGGAGTGTTACTAGCAGCCATAGCCGCAGCCTGTGGGTCATTGCTAGCCGCTGCCATCGTGGCTTCCATGCAGTGGACAGCGTCTGAAGCCATGTTGACAGCATGTGACGTCAAACTCACAACAGGGGGAGGTGAGTTACTAGTATTACTGCCTCCGGCTGCTGCTGGTGCTGCTGCTGCTCCGAATAGGAACTCCGCCAGGCTGCTCGCGTCGCTGCCGCGTTTGGAACCCATTCTGATGCGACCAGTGGCGGCGTTGACCACGTTTACCTACACGTTGGCCGCGTTGACCTACGCGTTGACCGCCGCGTTGACCGTGTTGACGATGGTGCCACACACGAAGGTATGGATGTGCGGGAAGGGGGCAAAATAGTGGAGGGGTGTGTCGTCGCTATTGGAGGTATCTGAAAGCTACTGGTGCAATAACAGCTTGTCACAACCAATAAGAAAGCCGGTGCGTATCTCCGAACGCATTTGAGCCCGCCGTAAGAGGAATAGGTAGGACGCTGCGTTTTGAGACGTCGTAGAAAGGCTGTGAACGCAGTAATCTGGAAGGACTCCGGCATGGCTTTTGACAGCGTAGCAATGCGGCGTGACGCCCCGTCCAGCCTTCAACAGAAGGATGAACTCAACACCCCCACGTGCTTGATTCCTCACACTCTGTTCCCGCCAGCTTTCAGGCGAGCCACTTTGAACCATCGTAATCGGCAACTAATGCGCAAGTAATCCCCAGATCTTCAAGACCACGCCAAGGCCCCGGGCCTTAGCAACAAAGGCGGGCGCACACATGATGTTGATGATGATGCGCACATGACGCAATGTGACTTTCGGTCTGATTTGGGCTATTCAAGAGACAGTAACCCCAGGTTAACAATTCCCGCAGATGATTTCCAGCCAAGAACACTTCGTCACCGCACGTATAGTGTGTCACTGCCATTATTCCCACCCCATGCCCACGAATCCGATCAGGTACTACGTATCCCGACCCCGTAAGGAGAGTCCGAGGCTAACACGGCGGCAAAAAGAACGGGAGAAGTTTTGCGAGCTCCGCAAAAGATGCCACTACTGGTTTCCCGTTCTCTGCCTAGCGACTACATAGTTCTAGTCACAGCAACTGTACGAAGTGGTCGGAGCTGCGACAAAACACACCCGCAACCCGTCCCGTTCGGACGCTCCGTTCGCCCTGCATCGTGGCTGTACGACGGATGGCAAGTTAAATCTCAATTTCGTACTGCGAGCAGCACCGCGAGCAACCAACGCACGAGCTATGAATAGACGCTGTGAGGCGATCGCCATATCCGCAAGATACGCTATCCCGAACGGGCAGCTAGGAAAAAAAATCCGTACATAAATGTTTCCTCGTGGAGGCATCTAAATTTCCCGTGTGTAAGCTTGAAACTCGGGTTTAGGGTCACGGCTTGAATAGTCTGAGCGACGTAAGAGGCGGCGGAAAGAGGTGGCGGTGGTGGAATAGGGAGAGTGGGTGTGGGTAGGGTACGGGCGCCACTCAGGGTGCGTTCCTGGTTCGTGTCAAACTTCCGGTCTTCCTGGGATGACACGAAGCTCGCCCCAAAGCTGGCCCCACTTCGGGTTTTCCGGCAAAAATTTGCCCCTGGCTCGGAAAACACGAAGTTTGACCGGAAGCTTGACACGAGCCAGGAACGCGCCCTCACTTCAGCCACTTGAACTTGAAGGTAGGCAGGCAAGGTAGGCAGTCATGTGTGTTGAACAGGACAGGAGATCACCGACGTGATAGTTTGGGGAATACGGGGTGCGATCGTGCGAAACACAAGTTCATGATTTCCGTCACGTGGTTACCCTCTAGTGGCCTGGGCACATGGCGGTGGGCAGGGCAGCACCATCAAGTCGCTAACTCACCACAACATACAATTCAGATGTTGTATACAGAGTGCAATTGAGTGAGCGAACTAATATTGCACTATCTAAACAAAACCGTACATTGAGTGAAGGAATGAGAAAATGTTGAATAGCGAACTAGTGTGGTAACGGTAATGAGCTAATCGTGGGGTGTGCGACGGGCGTGGCGCCGAGGTTGGGAATTATCGAGGCGGAGGACCGGAACGCGGGTTACAAGCCGAGCCGTGAGGTTAAGTCGCGATGTGAATAGTAGCGGGAACAGTGTTCGAAGCGAGTGTCGCGATGTGGTAACAGTTTACTGTTGGATACTGTTGGTGGGATCAGTCATGTACGCGGTAAACAAGGACGCAAAGTAAGGAAAAAATAATAGGTTTTCTTACAATACCGCCCTCCTCATCAGGGCTCTCGTTATCCAGGTAAAATACCCTTTTTGCCCTTTCTAGCGACCGTTTTTTTCCAGTTACCCTTTTCTAGGAATGGTAATAGAATTTTACCCTAGGCCAAAAAGCGTAAGGAGCTTCTTTCTCTAACTGTATTGTGTACGATCACAGTAATACTGGTACTGAATGCTCCATAGCGAGACGGAACACTACGAGCCCCTGCAAAATACTCCCAAATAGCAAGAATTGAACATGCGACCTTTAAAATCTAATACGAAATCGTACCAACTGAACCACTAAGTGTTGAACTGACTCACTTTTGATAACGACCTTTTGTATAACAAACAAAATTACCCTGGCAGACAGATTTATAGTTTTTTACCCCTAAATTTGTCAGGGAAACAAAATAATCACCCTATGCATCAGGGTTGACTATACCTAGAACCCTGATTACTAAGGGTGGCCCAAAACGAATCTGAAGCCCTGCTCCCCATGGGCCCCCCTTACGAGAGAGTGTGTATGTTGCGGAAGTTTTGGTTGCGTAGATACTTAGTGAAAACGGTGATGGTTCCCAATTTTATCCAGGGAGACCAAGTTATCCTCTGTGGGCATGCGGTCCTTCAAGCGAATCGGGAACTCGATGCGGCGTGCTCCACGTAAGTCGTGAACTCGGTGGCTCGGTCTTTTTTCGGGGCTGATTGTTGGTTCAGTTGATTGTCGTGACATGCTCAACGGGTGGCTGCGTGGCGGTTGATCTGTCAACGGAACGTAGGGGCAAGAGAGGCTGACGTAGAAAGACGGGCCGACGTACCAGTCAGCGGGCAGGAGGAGGTGGGCGGTGACTGGTGCGATCATGTGGCTAATGCAATGTGGCTCGCAATATCTGGGGCGTAACTTTGGAGTGACGGGCAGGCAGAGATTCCGAGTGTCGAGCAGTTTTAGTTCGTGGGGCCGCGGTGGCAATCGGCATTGCGCTTAGCGATTATGTGATTTTTTTTTTCATGGCATCTGCTAACGACGCGGTGATGCACGGTTGGTTACAGTGGCCTCAGAGGCCACACCGCTGACGTCTTCACCAAGCATTTTTAGCCTTGCAACCATCAGCGGTGTTGCACTCAGCTTAAACTAGTCACTTGTACTTCTCACTTGCTTGTTTCGTGACATGTCTTACTTGCTTTGCTTGTATTATGTATATGCATATCAGTGAACCCTTAGACTAGCCTTGTGGCCTTGTTTGTCTCAAAGGTTGGACTAATTGTGTTGCTTTAAGTTTGTTTCTTGTTGTTGCTCACTGACTACCCTTTGTCTAGCCTAGGGGGTGTGTCAAACTATATATTCGTATGTTTATAAAATTTATTGTTATAGACTAATTTAGGGTTTGCGCGAATAACACTTGTTATTGTGTACGCTCGACTTTTGCCGAGTCAACATTTCATCTCTTTACACCTGCAGCAGCGGGGGCAAGCGTTGCAGCAGCAATGGGGACCTCAGCACAAGTGGCGCCCTCAATAGTAATAGGGTTTGGTGGACCGAAAAGCGTCGACCGCATTAGTGGCTGAGACAGATTGGGGGTTCGTAGCGGTGGTTGCGATGTAAGCTTTGCATTGTGAAGCCACAGACGATGATGGGGTCGACCTCCAAGATACAATTCCGTAGCCCAAGCTGAAACAAAACTCCTCTGTTGACCTGCTGGTCTCCTTGTCGTCCAACCAGGACGAGTCGCAGTGCCGGAAAGCCGCACTGGCCGAGTCCCTCCAAGCACGAGCTCCTTGCCTGATGTGGTGGCTAGGTACGTTGCTACCCTCTTAGAAACTGTCTAGTGAACCTAACGGTGCCTCCTAGTCGCAACCAAGCGAGCACGGACACTCAGTTGATAGGCGAGGTTTGGTCGTATACACGTGATCAGGTACATGAGGCAATTCACAAGCTCTGCGTAGCCAGGTACGTTGCTGCCCTCTTAGAAACTGTGTAGTGAACCTAACGGTGTCTCCTAGTCGCAACCAAGCGAGCACGGACACTCAGTTGATATGCGAGGTTTGGTCGTATACACGTTATCAGGTACATGAGGCAATTCACAAGCTCTGCGTAGCGCGCACCAGGCTCAACTGGCTCGTTAAAAACATGTCTTCTTAGGCTCCACTGGATCCCAGCCGGGAATGTGCCAGTGAAGTTAGGAAGACGGCGTAGCCGGATCTCCTCGTACAGGCTGTCCTGGAGGAAGGCGGTGACGAAGTATAGTGAGTGCAACTCGTAGTCACGCTGTGTTGCGACGTGCAGGAGTACCCAAAGAATGGTCATCTTCAGGGTAGGACAGAAGGTCTGAAAGATAATAGCGCAAGTAGCGCACCTTGAAGACGGGATGTGATCCAGACGGTCGCTTCACCTTGGAGATCTACATGCCATTGACTGCGGTTGGCTCAGGAGGGGAAACCGCGTCGACGTGCTTGACTGTGGACCTCCAATATGCCATCTCGAAGTCTATGCTACCCACTGAGAGTCTCAGGGCCCCAAAACCGTCTCAGCGTATGTGCAAGGCGTCGGAATGTTTGGAGTGTCAGGGCCTCCATCAGGGGTTAGCTGCGTTGCACAAAGATGGTGAGCGGTGTCCGCAAGGAGCCCGAGCTAAAACCACCTATCCTCTAGGACGTCACAACCAAGGGCAAACTCACCCCTGACGAGAAAAGGCCGGGTAGGAGGAGTATCCACCAAGCAGCTGGCATAGGCAAGGTGGCAGGTGGAGGCAAAGTCAGTGAGAGCGGTGACAAGAATCGAAACTGACAACAGAGAGACAGCATGGTGAGTAACAAGAGAGGAGAGGACACGGGAGACGACAGG